GACTATGAGACTTGGGCTTGGGGACTGGAACTCTAGGAAGTAAAATTAGACAATTTCACATACTAGTACAACCGCACGGGCACAGCATATCATCAACCCGGCACTGGGCGTGGCAGCCACGCTTGTTGCGCATCCGGTAACCGCTCCGACTTACATATCTGAAAACACTGATTCCGTCGAGAAGGTTTGTACTCCATTCAGAATTGATCTGGTGCCTCGACGTTGCTGTTGTGCAAAGTTCACCGACATTCAGTTCCGAAGGTCATTCACCTACGTCAACCGCCTTACACGTACGTCAAGTACATGACCAATTATCCAGAAGTGGAATTCACAACGGCAACATTCAAAGGGCTGGATGATGACGTGGCTGGATAGATGCGGATGTGTCAATGACGAGGAGCTGGAAGTGACATCGGGCAACGCGGAGATCTGAGATAAAGGTAGGAGGGATGACCTACCCCACTTTGAGAGACCTGGCATGGATATGTCAGCTGAAGTTTTGGTATGCAAGAAATAAAAATAATCAGGATTTGAGTTGTAATGCCTGAAAAACAATACTCACATTATTGGCAACAAGTATGAGGGGCGAGCTTGGGCGGGATAGGGCGCAGACAAGGGGATTGTGAGCTGGTTATCGGAAACAGAGCGAGCTGGTTATCGGAAAAACTTGTTTGTGTGTATGTAGTTATGTTTCTGCAACGACGAAAAATGACAACTCAAAACAACGCTCTTTAACCGTGCGCGTGACATCCTGTCTCGATTGGGTAAATCTCTGTTCCAACTGTCTATTGTTACTCTCTTAGCCTCATCCTATAATCGTCGTGAATGCTCAGTTCCACTTTTCTCTTGTAAATGTCAAGGGTCCGGTAGTTGTCCGATAATGGTGGGCTCCGTCATTGATCGTGTATACACCTCTGCGCGGCTAACTATTCCGCGCAGGCCTCACTAAGTTGCTCCTAATCGTGGGAGGGTTCAAAGGTTTGAAATCTTAAGTAAAGGCATAAATAGGTGTATGCAGAGTCCCCCAGGCGCTGTGCGCCTGGAGAAACTCGCAAGAAAAATGTCCATTGATGGTAGCGTTGTCCTATAATACCTATAATATGTAGAAAAGGGGAAGAGGAGGGAGGGGAATTGTCTGTTTGTGGAAATAAGAAAATGTCTGTGGGGAAAGAAAAGAAAATGTCTGTGGGGAAAAGAAAAGTTGAGTGGAGTAGAACGGAAGGATGTTGTGAGATACCAGAAAATGGGAAAGGAAGTTAATGTCCAGTAGCTTGTTGGTGAGCAGGATGACCAAACAGCATTGCATGTAGAAGAATGGGATTCTTCCGTATGTATATATGGAAGGTGTTTGATGCCCAACGCCCAGTGGCTTGAATGATGTGAGGTGGTACACCAGCTTCGGCGAGGGAAGTGGCTCCGCCGGCTCGCATGGATTGGCCTGCGATATCTGATGGGAAGAAGCGGCGCAATTTGCATATGAACCAGGAACATGTTGGCACAGTGCCAGACGTACGTAACCAAAGTTCTGGTTTGAAGGGGTGGAGTGTATCGCGAGAGGAGATGTAAGTTGTGAAGACGTTGTGAGGGTTTGTGGGAAGATTTGTCTTCTGAATAATGACAATGTTACCTTCAAAGAAGCGGTCGGCCTTATGGCCAGGCAGCAACAATGAGTAGGTGGTTTGAGTAATGTCAACAGTGTGACGTAGCATGATTTTACGATAGTCACGAGAGGCCACTCTGTCAGGAAAAGTGAGCTCGCCCAGGCGGAAAAGCCCATGGAAACCTGTGAATAGAATAGTGAGAAACAATTTTTCGTCGTGGTGGGGAGTTGATTGCAGTTGAGACAGAACAGTGATAAGGTCATCTGTTGATAAGGGTCGCTTGCGCCGTATTGTTGTCCCAAAACGTCGACAACAGCCAGCCAAAGTGCGTGATACGAGGATGCTGTTGTGATTTTTTCGGATGTCAGGGAAATATACTTCTAGCTGATTGCAAATTCCTGAGAGATACGAGTTGACAGAGTCGGGTTTGATGTGGGCAGACATGTAAACAACAAAGAAACTAAGTGTTTGTTGAGTTGGTTCAATGGGAAAATCGTGGATTTTGCAAAAGGTGAGATATGAGTTTAATGCGGACGTGTATGTGAGATGAGAAGAATTGTCAATTGATAATCCAAGTGCAATAGACCGTTCGTGCGTAAGGCGGTCTAGTGACCATGGCTCTCTCTGAGGTTGGCAAGAGCCACGTGAGATGCTAATCATTTTTTGGCTACCCCCAGCGTCAATCGAGGGGGTTGAACGATAGTGAGGTGGCAAAAAGGCCAATCAGCATACAATGGGCATGAAGGAGCTTCACTTCGGACAGTCATTATTCTTGTGCCCAGATGAAAGGCACTTGCTGCAAACATGAAGCCAGCGACACTGAGTACTCTCAAGTGTGCACAACCCTTCATTCCAGCGGTTGCAAGGTTCAGGTAGCCTTTTGTGCGAAGTCGCTGAGGGTTTGCCTGGGGTAGCAGCGGATGCACGTTGGACGACAGCGGCACCAATCGAATCCATGTGGGTCGATCTAAGGTCAAAGAACTTGTTGAAGTCAGTGAGCTCCAAGTCTCGACGAGCACCGACACGTCGCCGAACAGCCTTGTCAAAAAGGATAACACAATCATGAAAGTGTACATCAGTTGCGGTGAATAGCCCAATGATGTACTCAGCATATTGTGCAAGCTCGCCAGCTCTGTGTGGGAAAGCGGCGCATATAGCTCGTGACGACCGATTCCAAGTGATGCTCCACTCTCCCGCAGTAGATACAATTTTTGTTGGATTGACTGTTCTGAAGCGAATTTCAAAGTCCCCGATTTCCTCAACTCGTTCGTCATTATTGGATGTTGAGTAATATCCAGTGAGGACAGCGTCAAGGTTGATAGCACGTCCTGCGAGAACATTGGTCCATTCCGAATCTGGAAACTCAGGACAGCTGGGAGAATTGATGAGGGATCGTTTGGTTCCTTTTGGATCAATAGCATAGAGTTTGAGTAACTCGAGGGATTTAGAGAGTGACGGAGAGAGTGAAGCGCCATGAATGAAGTCCGAAATTGTCCAGGGGAATTTTGAGTCATCAGGTTTCGCTCGTTTAGGAGATGGGATGTCGCCGAGGTCTTCATCGTCGGGATTTGCTTCTGGAATAGGTTGGGGACTTTCTGAATGTCGACGACGTCAACGGTGTTCAGCTTCTGCGAGGTGTCCTTGATGATTCTCAATAATGGTGAGAAAACGGCTGAATGCCTCTTCAACTGTTGCTGAAGTCGACTCATCATCAGGGACTGCTTCCAATAAAGTCGTGTAAATCCTGCACAGCGCAATCCCTTTGGAGATCCGAGATGAACGATAGCCCTCGAGGATAGCATTGCAAGAGGCGAGAGCAGCATTGGCAATCGGGAAATTCCCAGATGTACCGGCAACAAACTCTTCGTCTCCTGTAGCGCCGGACCTCTCATTGTCAACAATGGGTTCTTGACCTTGATTTGGATTGACTGTTGATGGATTTGAGTCTCGTTCTCCAACTTGAGCGTTGGATTGTCGTGTGGAATTTGTCTCAGCAGCAGAACCAGAATTAGGAGTAATAACAGCTTCATTGCTCGTAGACATAGAAAGTGTAGTGATTGAAGATGTTGAAAAGATCTGATGCAGCCGTAGGTTGAAAGGTAAACGCGCAAACGAGAGCTAACCGATAGCAAGCTCGAGTGGAGGTAAGACGAGGGAGTTGTCTTACAACTTGAGGTGGCTCCCCCCGTGGGTGAGTCTCAAGTATACGGCTCGCCCGCACTGGAAATCGCTAGTCTCCGAGACTAGGAGTATCTCGGGGAGAGGAGAATATTTCGTCCCCAGGCACCCGTGCGCCCCGATTAGACTATAGTAAAAATATTTTTAAACTCGATTTTTGGGGGTGGGCAATTCCCGCTAAGTGACAATCATGTCACATCACACATGTCACATGATGCCATCACGAAACACTGACCCAGTCGCACCATCACTGCAATCCATCTCTGTTCCATTGAACGACATGCAGGAACGTGATTTGGATAGAAAATCTATAAATCCTTCAAGTAGCCATGTATTATTATTTACTTATAGTTGTGGAATGAGAAAACTCTCTGCCAAATGGTGCTGAAGAGGCCCCCCATTCTGGTACCTTGGTTCCCCCTTCAACAACTCATTTCTGTGTAAACTTTCATTATTGACAGTTAATATATGTGATTATAGGCACAAAATGTTCAGGCCAGAATTTTAAAATCCCATTGCCTTTGCACTAAACCCATCCAAAAAATGCGATATTGCACACTTCCAGGACAGATATAAAAAATCTATCAAGAACATTTTGTTTGAATCTTTTTTCTGATCATCTTTCGTTGTTGAATCATAACCTGGGGGTGAGTGGTTGCTCTTGCATAGTCTATTCTTTGCTAAGCAGCAACAACAAGAGGTGCCAATTCAGCTTATATCTACATCAACAAAGCCTAGAATCAGTTCTTAAATTCATATCATAGTATCCCAAGAAGTTTTGACAATTTTTGTTCCAGAGAGACATGCACTACACACCAGGAATGAGGGTGACCATGAAATTGAGGAATATATGGTATTTACATGTTATCTTCCATTGAATGCTGATTCTGACTCACCTAAATTAGAAAATCTACTTCCAAATGTTGTAGAATTACATTCATGTGTATTTTTTTTTTTTGTAGCACTGCTCAGAACTTCGTTTATGGCAAACAGCCTGAGTTGAGGCCATCTGTGATGCATGTGTGACATTGGGTCACTGTTTTGGGGGAAATCAGTCACAGTGCATTACGTCACGCTCCCAAACGCTACAGCGGAATTACCCACCCCCACTCTTTTGATGGAAACCTCAGGCTCTAGTGCATTCCCGAAAGCAGAGGAGGATCCGGATTAGCTGCACACCAGGAAAGATGGCGAGGGCAGTCCAGGAGTGGTTGCCTTGTAAGGAAACTTAACGTGCATACTATCTCTTACTTGGCGTCCTGGAGGGCTGGCCGCTCGCATCAGTTGATGTTGCTCAAAAGATGTTCGCTTCTACACACTCAGCACATCACGGCCTTCCTGTATTCAGAAGGTTTCGGCTGACGATGACGGCAACTTCAAATCAAAATTGTTATGAAGAGGGCTTGAACGTTGAATGTTTGAACTTCAGAGTGAACATTGAATATTGAAGGATGGTTAAGCGAGGATGGATCTGCAAAAATGACTGACTCGATCCTGGGGGTGACAAGGTTTGGGGCAAGGACTGTGACAATCAATCATTGCACATTGAAAGCAAGATACCTATTCTCCTTTCAGTCCTGTTGTATGCTCATAGACCTTCTGAACAGAACCCCAACAATCGTGAAATCACCCCAACGACTCTGCCAATACTCATTCAGGTGCATATATCCAGATCTTTCCCTGCACTTTCCCATCCACAGCTGCTACAAGCGCTGGGCCAGTCTTGTCAATTTCGAAGGTGGTCATATGCACCTGTTGGTTGCAGGATCCAATGATTTCCCAGTAGATGTTAACACAATATAAACCTGGGAGATTGCCGCAAAATGACAATATGAATGGAAGGAGTGAGACTGCTAGTGTGATGGGCTTATCTCGCTGCTTGGAGGTGCCAGGCGGAGGTTCATCATCGCCCGTTGAACATCTGCAAAGGTGGGCGAGGGCTGAGGGAAATATTGAGGTACGATCTCTCCTGCTGTTGTATCTTCGAGGTGACCTACTTTCTGACGATTTCTAATCAAGATGGCTTGGACTGACGTTTGTTGTGGTGTCTTCCAAAATTTCATTTCTCTCCACTGGCACCTTGACAACCATATGGGCGTGAGTGTCTTCCCACCTACTTCTCTGTGCTACCTGCTGTCTCAACCTCCAGAAACCTTCTTGGTCGTCGTCTATCTATCTTTTCCTCAACACTGCTCAAGACTGTATCTTGACTGCTGTCACGATTTGAGAGGGCATGGCCAGAGCTTTGCTTTTTTCGTTGTAGAGCTGTCTCGAACGCACAGAAACTATACAAGGAAAAGGTGTCACTTCCTTTTGACTTTGCCAGAATCATACTGTGATTGGCCACAAGGATGATGGCCTGGTTACCATGGTTGTGGGAGTATAAAAGGAAAGATATAAAAATTCCCAAAAAGGAAAGAGAAAAAGAGGAAAAAGGAGGGATTTCCTGACTTATTAGTAACCTTTCTCTTGGTAAAAATTCCAGAAAATTACCACAAAATACATTGATTGTTATACCACTTTTTCATAATACTTCTGATAGTGAAAATCAAACTATGTAGATTTGGTAGCACTCTCAACCATCAAAAGAAATTCACAAGAATCAGAGGGGTGTCTGCTATCCTTTCCTTCACATTGTTTTGAACCACATGAACCACAGGAATTTGTGCACTGATTCTTGTTAATTCAACTTCCACATCCTTTTTTTTTCACACTTCCAACATTTCCTTGCTGCATGTTTTAGACTATGGACTGTCACAGGGGATTCAGAGATATATTTTGAAATTAGAATTTCTCAATAGGTTGACCTTCATCTGGTCAGATACAACTTATCCATGGATTGTAATAGTTTTATATCTGTGACACTCTAGCTCAAATTTCATTTTTAAAGATTATAGTACTATTAGGACACTTGTAACACATTACACTCTAGAAAAATGTAACATCTCTGGTATACCATAAAAAAAATTGCTTTCACAATTTTGATTCTGGCAGGTGGACTAGTGTATTTCAGTGTTATCCATCCTATGTAGATTTTTTATTTTTCTATTGGGTATCCAGCATGTGTGTCTACCCTGAGTTATTATTCTCACCAGGCAATACACTTGATCCTGCAACTGAAATATTTTCAGGTGGAAAAGGGATATTATAGAGCATTGCTTGGTTTTGATCAGTGTAAGGACTGCTAATTAATTGCTTTCCTGATGATGAGGGCTGGGCCACTGGTAGAGTTTATTGCAATATGTTTGTGAAGCTCAGGGTTTGAGAGCTTCAACTCCTTTGCATTGAGATCTAGTCTGGGATTGTCAAGATGTGCAACATTTCTCTGCCAGATTACATGTTCCCCAAGCTGAAATTACAATTGATAAATGATATTTTTGATTATCACAGGAAATGATGCTGCACACAATGTTGTAGGGAGGGGAAGATGTTTAAAATGTCGACAATTCAAAGTACAGGACAAAACGTGGGAACTATCTACCATACATGGCAGCATCCGAATACAGAAATCATAGCAGCTGCTAATGTTTCCATTCTCGGAATTATTTTGGTAGCAGCTGCTACTAGTAATGTTTCCAAATATGGAAACATTAGCAGCTGCTACTACCCACAGGCATGGGAACTCCGCCAGGACGATTGGGACTGTGAAGCATGACAGTATGAATTCATCATCATATCATGTGATGTGTGCAACATGCGCACAGACCACGTCACCCAAATCTTTTCTGGGAAGCAACATCTCGACATGCAATGGATGGACCTTGTCCCTAACATTTCATATCCTGGGTTTAGCTCCCATTCGCTTTCGTCGCCATATGCATCTGTATGTTTGATGGCTGAATTCTGTCCAATGTTTGAGTTTGCTGACATGACACTAGTGACAAGGGTCAACAACCTTCAGCCATTCCTTGTAGCCAGGAAGCCGTGCAAGCGTGCTTTAGTTTGTGTCAAATTTGAGTGGGGAGGTTTTCAAAGGTGAGTTGCGTCACTGTGCTGCTTCAATCACTGGGTGATGGAAATTGGAGTGAAGGATTTCTTCCAGCAGTAGGGACCTCTGGCACGAGAAACAAGGCGAACATCATGGACAACGGTGTAAGAGTCAACCATTGTGCATAGTGTTTTAAAGTCCAGTTAAGTCCAGTTTTTTACCTCAAAACGAGGCAACTGGCAACCGCAACCGGTTTAGACCAATCCAGATATTAAGGGACCGCAACCGGACCATTTTAGACCGGTCCTAATCGGTCCACAACGCGAAAAAGACCGGTCCAGACCAGTTGCAACCGGTCTTTTGTTGTAAAATTTATTACACCACAGAACCTAAATATTACCTCACGTACATTGCATGCGTAGGTAGATAATTTAATTCTCCGTAGACTGATTAAAAATTTAAGCAATTCCGTCAAGATTTGACTGAGATAGGGCGAAAACAGAGAGGACATACATTTGAATTGCATGTATTAAAATGTTTTTGGCCATATCTCAACCAATTCTAGACCGTTTTTGATGATTCAGGGACCTAAAATTAAGTAAAATGTGCACGAGTAAGGTACAACACGTGGTGGGACGAAAGACCGGTTGCAACCGGTCTAAACCGGTCTTTTTCGGTTTTTATATATTTACAAAAACATGGCAACTGGCAACTGGACTGACCACAAATATGGGCAACTGCAACTGGAAAAAGACCGGACCATGGTTCAGTCCAGTTCAGTCCTATGTATATTTTCAGTCCTGTAGACTGGACCTGCGACCACTAGTCGTGCAGCTGTTTTGAATTATTGGAAGAGCCACAATGAACGAAGTGATGCCAATAAAGAGGACTCTATGACTCCCAGATGCCCCTTGTCATTCCCCTGACATTAGTGTTTGTAATGTTAAACAAGGACTGGTTTGTGCGTAAATAACCACTTCCTGGTACTTGGCAGATACCACTCTTCTTTGTCTGCATCAGCAAACCTACAGATTACTCATCAGCTTTTTGCAACTTTTTGCAGCTGACAGCTTGTTGACAAGTCACAAGCTGAAAAAAGCTTGCAAGTCGACAAACTACTGACTATGTCAGAAAAATTGTAGAATTACCTATCTTAGCACAATTACATTTACTCTTGTAGAAATACATGTGTGATCGTCAGCGAGATACTAACTTGTACTGCACCCATTTCCTTTGAACTCAGGCCATACAGCCCAAAAGTGTGTCTCTGATCCCTCCACCTGTTGATTTGCTTGGAATGACAGAGGGCACTGTGAGCGTCTTGAGATTCTCCAGTGCACTCATGCTATTCTTCATTTTAAGCACCACACCACACAAAAAGACAGACCAACTCACTTGAAAGCATTAGACTCTCATCCAAGCACAACCCTAATCTTCACACTCCTATGAATATCCTCCGCATCCCCCTAAAAATAATCCATACCAAGCTGCAAAATATCCCCATCCTTGATCTGGTAAGGCCTCAACTCAGTATTCACAGGGCTCAATCGAACATTATTCAGAAATGTCCCAGTGCTGCTCTCCGTATCTTTCATGTAAAACTTGGCCCCAGGCTCTACCCAAATATCTGCATGCACACACGAGACAACCCTCAACGTGAACGCGAGCTTATTCAAGTCTAGCACATTGACAGCTGTGAGGCCTATTCCGGAAGGGTCAGACAACTGCCCAATGCGGAGGGGTAGGTTGCCTTCCTTCATGTCCAGATCAATAGGGTCAAACCAGAAGAAATAATCTGAATCCAAGTGAGGGACTAGACGGATGTGTCGAGTAGTGCCACCAGTGACCACCCGCAGATGTTGATGGTTCTGGATCTGTCCTTGATAGCGATACCGAGAAGAAGATCATTGTTCGAGCTGTCAGTGCACAGGTACCCAAATTGAGCACCCTCATTAATCGTAGTGCACCGATCACTCACAGTTTGCACGCTGATAAGGGCTCTAAACTCACTGAAGGTCACCAATGCCATCAGTGGTGGGGGTGGTGGTGGTACAGGTAGAAGGGTTGGTTGAATTTTGACAGAAGTTGAAGCTTTAAATTTCCAGCTTGCGCCCACACGCACCACACTGATATTGTCTTGGTGTGCATAGAGAGGCAGAAAGGTGTTGGTGTTGGACATTGTGAATGACATTGTGGATGATGTCGTATGTAGCCGAAGTCGATGTCTTGTTGTACATCGATGCCACATTGTGTTGTTGATGCGCATTATGACAAAAAAAAAAAAAAAAATGCAAAAACAACAAAATGTAATAAAACCAAACAAAGCTTTTCTCCTTGTTCTCCAATTGTTCTCTCCCAACTTCAAGGGTCGATTGTTGTTGAGGATCGATCTTGTGCATGATACAGAACAAGAGAAATAGGGCCCATGGAAGCCCCAACACTCATCTGAAAAACTTCTCCTCTATTTGCTCCTCTAGTGGGTATCATACACAACTGCTTATATTGTGTTTCACAGATGTGGAAAACTGACATACCGGAAATTTGCTATTTCAACAACTTCTGTTCCACAGGGGCAAGGGGGATTGTCTGCTTACCAATATAGGAATGCAGTTTCAAGGTTTGTCTGTGAAAACAACGCTCTTTCTTCAACAAGGAGTGTTCCAACTGTCTATAGGTACTGACTTTGCCTCAACCTATAACCACCATAAATTCTCAGTTCCACTTCTCTCGTGTAGATGTCACTCCTCTTGTGTAGATGTCAAGGTTCTGGTAATTGGTCATGTGTACCCACTGCCACTGCTGGGCTAACTATTCTGCGTAGGTGTCACGAAATCATTTGCTATTTTGTTGGCAATCTCGGGCTCTGGTGCCTTCCCAAGAGCAGAGGAGGATCCGGATTAGCAGGACACCAGGAAAGATGGCGAGGCATCCCTTACTCAGCGTCCTGGAAGGCTGGCCACTCTCAACAGGTGATGTTGATCAAAAGATGTTCGCTTCTTCACATTTGTCGCTAACATCATGGCAACTTCTATTCAGAAGGTTTCGGCTGACCGTGATGACAACTTCAAATTGAAAAATTGAATTTGTTACAAAGAGGGCAAGTTGAACTTAGGGGTGATCATCCGAGTTGAAGGACAGCTTTTACTAGGCAAGGACGGATCTGCAAAAGTGACTGATTCGATCCTGGGGGTGACAGCATTTGGGGCGAGGACAGTGACGATCAATCATTGCAAAAGCAAGGTACATATTTTCTATTCAATCCTGTTCTACGCTCATAGACCTTCTGAACAGAACCCCAACAATCACGAAATCACCCGAACAACCCCACCAATACTCATTCAGGCACATATTTCCAAATCTTTCCTTGTGCTTCCCATCCACAGCTGCTTCAAGTGCTGGGCCTATCAAAGCAACCTACTTTCTGACGGTTTCTAATCAAGATGGCTTGGACTGACTAGTACTGATGTTAGTTGTGGTGTATTCCATTTCCTTCAATTGGTGGCAATTGCCTAACGCAACTTTACCATCACTTTGGTGGTTCTTACTATAGCTTATTGCGTGTAGAATCATTCATAATCAGTCTGAGCAAACAGAATCAGTACCATGACATTTTGCCGGAATGATGATTCAATCAAATTCTATGCAGTCATCATATAATATCATGTGATGCCATCAATGTGCGCACAGACCATGTCACACACAGAATGTCGGACTGCCCACTGACCTGGCTGCAAGCCCCAGGGCTCTTGGCTCATATGCGGTGTCTGGAGGTGGCTTATGTCCATATATAGGACATAATTATGTACAAATGCGGAAGTCACATGTAATGTCACATGTAAGTGCATTGATTGTTGGAGAGCAACTGTTACTCCCCAACACTCTCTCAAAACGCAGGCAGTATCCAGTTACTGCCCGCATTTTGTCTCCTTTTCATATTTCCTGCACATTACTCTTCGTGTTTGCTCAACTTCCGACTCACTGGACCCAAGACGATCTATCCACCAACTTTTCGATGCATCAACATGCATCATAGCCATTGGGTTGTAGTAGCATGAGTGGAGGAGGTTGCGTGTCAGTAATACCGATTTACGGGGTCGTTCAGGTGCATAGTCTACCTGAAGAAAGCAGGCTTTTCTGCTTTCCTCGTTTCAATTTCTTCCAACTAACATTTTTGTTTTTAATGTTCAGAATTTGATGATGGACCTTCCCTGGCCCCTTCAGCAAAACCAACTACGACGTCGCACACCCATCCCCGTTGGCCAATGCACCTGTACCCGCCTCTCGATGTGCGCCCATCATCCGGCATTAGTGTTTGAAAGTCCAGTTCAGTCCGGTTTTTTGATGCCCAGGGGCGTTAACCGGTCTGCCTTTTCCCCAGAAGTCAAAAGACCAGACCGGACCGCAAAAAGACCGCAGACCGCGGTTTTTTGCGGTCTATAGACCGGTTTCGGTCTGCATCGGTTTTAACCGGTTTATGACCGGTCTTTAGGCCAATATTTTAAAATTATGAATCGGTAAATTTATTAACATCTCTAATAGCTTCAAAACGAGCCCAAGAACGTTAAATTCCATTACGAATTGGTGCTTCTATAAAATAAGTCTGGTACATTTATTATTCCCAAAAGTAATTTACATTTTAATTCATATCTCTCTCGTTTTTTTACCAAATCGTACGTTCTTGGGTGCGTCTTAAAGGGTATTTAAGGGGCTACAAAAGACCGGTCCAAACCGGTCAAGACCGGTTCACGTTAACCGGTTTTTTTGCGGTCTTTACATTTCAAAAATAAAAGACCGTAACCGCAGGTCCGGTCTTTTGCGGTCTTGGTCCGGTCTGGTTACAGTCTTTTTCCAGTCACAAGACCGGACTTCCAAACACTATCCAGCATGCCCATGCCCATCATTGATGTGCCCACACCCATGATCCCACATAAAATTCAACTGCCCCACTCAGCTCGGTCCCCATTGCAAATGGCATGACCACCACCATCATCGCCCTTGATCACATTCCTATGCCCTCCGCTCTACCTGTCCCTGTCGGATGATGTGCCCATACCCATCATCTGACATGCCACACCCATCACATTCACAACCCCTTCCACTACATCCCCATCGCTAACAGTGCAACCCATCAACAAGAACACGACCGCCGCACCCACAACCACTGCTCAACATGCCCCTGTCCTTCGACGTGCACCCGCCATTCAAGGTACGCCCGCCGCTCGACATGCATCCATCATCTGATGTACCAAACTCAACCACCCCATTCTGCTCCATCCCCATCACAGTATCACCACTTTCATCGCCCTCTCGTCACATTACCATTGCCAACAATGTGACCACTACTCCTATCCCCACTGCTCAATGTGTGCCCAACTATACCACCCATTGTATTTCAGCCACCATTGTAGCTACTCACCTATTTTCAACAGTTATTAAATAAATATAATTCTTCATTATTCAATATGGTCCAGCCTCATGCTTATTTTACGATGGTAGACTTTATCATATTGCACAGAATATTTGCATGGCAATCAATTTGAAGATGCAGCACCACGACAAGCTATATTGAGTATGATATTCCCAACTGTAAATAGCTGCTTGGTGAAGTGGTTATGTTGTGCAGTAGGTAGCATGACCTTGGCCCTGTGCCCGAGGACATGGGTTCAAACCCTCAAGTTGAAAAAAAGTTTTTTTTTTCAAGATGAACTCCAGACATAAGACATGAGTGCTCTTAGCCTTGAGGCTCCTTCAGAAAACGCCGCTGAGGCTCTCACGTGCAGCCACAACTAAACGTGATGAGGTGATGGGTCCGTCGCATTGGTGTCGCTTCTCCGTTTCCCTTCTGTACTTATCACGCCGCTTGCAAACATTCAGTTCCACATATATACAATTTATTTAGAGCATCAAACACACAAAAATTTCACTGCCACACCATGCTTGAGTGGTAGTTACTGGTGCTAATTGGTTGATGCTTAGCCAGTGCTTAGCTTGACTTTGTAAGTTCTTCTGTCCAATTTTCACTATGTATACATTTGTCTTAGAACAATGTAAGTTTATTCTTCGTGAAATCCGTCACCGTATAAGGCTACAGCATTGACACTCTATTTGGTAAAGTGTTTGGTGGTGTTGATTCCCTCACTCCACATCATTTTCAGAAAAATTGGGGTATCTTTCACAAAAGTTGTCTGGAATTTGAAAGCTTCTCTTGTTTTTATTACTCCCAGAAAATTGTTCGAGTTGTAGCCGACTCTCCGGGGGGTCAGACGATCCTGTCACACAGGTCTCGACGTGCAGACAGACCTTGCCCCAAATATCCTGGCTTAAACTCCCATTCGCTTTCGTCGCCATACGCATTTGTATGTTCGATGGCTGGATCTTGTCCAATGTTTGAGTTTGTTAACACGACGTCGATGCTAGTGACAGCATTGCAAGCAACAATCTTCGGCCATTCCTCGGCGTAGCCAGGAAGCCGTTTTAGCCTGTGTGGGGAGGTTCTCGAAGGTGAGTCGCATCACCGTGCTGCTTCAATTACCGGGTGATGGAAATTGGAGTGAATGATTTCTTCCAGTGGTTATTTAGGCACAAACCAAGGGGGTAGCGGGACGTGGATCCCGAACCAAGGGTTGGGGGGGGGGGTGCTCGGCCAAAGGCCGAAAAAAAAGAGAGTGACACCCATCAATTTGGTGGCAGAAGTGGTCAGTGACCTGCCTGTTGCGACGTTGGATCGTTCTAGTAGATGTCCTAGCTGCTGTAGATACTTACTTGGCCATAGTAGACAGCGAGAAGCAATTTTGAACCCCCCAACATGTGGCGAAGAAATCATGGTAATGAATTTAACAAAAACATAGACCATGGCAAGGGGGTTCAAGAATTTAAAAAAAGTAGCTGGGGTTGAATTTTTTTGTAAGGCCCTGTGTGCTTGACCTACCTACCTATGTAATCAGGCACATGCCTATATATGGCAATATGACATCATCATCATGATCACTCTGATCCTCTAAGGCTTCGCATACCCAATTTCGTGGGGCTATCTCCAATACGACACATTGTAGGTGGTACTAAAAAATAAGTGAGTGTAGTGATTAACTTGTGCAAGACTGATACTCACCTGTTGAGTCTCACATCCAACCCTTTTACATTTTACCAAGCCATTGCATCCTGAGTGCAATACCACACTGCACAGGCATCCGTTTAGAGTGTCTGATGTGTTGAAACTTCAAAAACATCAAGATGATTCAAGTTTTGAAATCAGGTCACACAGCATACCCATCGGTGTCAAGAACTGGTCTCTAACTGTTTTGTCAGTAAATTGTGATTGATTAAAACATTAGACAAAAATTTGATGAAGATTAGACTGTGAAAAACAATTTTGAAGCCAGAAATTGGGCTGGATATAATGAAATATAATATCCAGTCAAGATAATGTACTATACAATGATATTTTAGATGCAGGAATACTGTAAATCACCTTGGAAAACCAATTTAGGACTATCTTATAGAGGGTTCCAAAAATCTTTTTTTCGGCCTACGGCCAACCTACCTACCCAACCCCTGGTCCGGCATTCAGATCCCTGAACCCCCTTGGACCATGGGTACTATTGCTAATTGAGGTTGAAATAAGAGTCAAATTACGGCCAACAGCTTCATTGTGCAGAGTGTAATACAGATGTGCATGTTGGTGCCGGTGGGATGAGTAACTTGAACGTGCATCGAGACTCGAAAACATGCAGAGAGAACAAGGCCACCAACACACAACCCCCACAAAAGAAAGAGAAGTCCTCAGCTTTTTTAACCAGAAAACCATACAACAAAATACCCCTCGAGTCTCACGGCAGGGGAAAAGGAAGAGAGAACTGTGGTTGGGTGGTGATGTGCAAAGCGCGAGGTTGCAAAACAGGCTGCCAGGTGCGTGCGCAGGACGGACAAGAGTCGACACACACACACAGAAATGAGACACGACACACGTGATGGAGAACGACACACCTGTCCAATGTTCAACACATTTGATGGCAAATGTCGGTCACTTGCTCAGGAAGGTGTGTCGAATCTTATCCGCATGATACCATACTATCTCGATTGATTCCGCCCTTTTTGGATTATCAGAAAATGAAATTTTGATGTGTGACGGAAATTAGCTATGTATCATACACCAAAGATTCTGTGGTTAAGTCAAAATCTGCCTCTCCATGCTCAAGTAAAATTTAGGATTTTAAGTTTTATTCCTTAAACTACTTACTATACAAAGTTATACATAAATTCTAAGAGAGGGAGCAACCTCGCGACCCCGGAATGTACGCACCAAGAATCCTCACTGTCGACGGCCTAGTATCGGCGCATCTGGGTGTCAGTATGTAGTCTCGGTGGCCGTGGTCGGGCGGGACGCAGTGGTGGCCTCGTCGCAAAGGGCGCTGGCATTTTCGCTGTCATTCGGGGTTGGTTAGTGGGGAGGCGTGGGGTACACACCTGGCTGCACGGTGGGTGCCGTATCCCCTGTTGGTTTGCCAAGTGGCACTGGGTCCTCGTCGATGGGCCTCAGCGCTGGATTCTGTCTGTGCAGGCATTTTCATGGGCCGATTCCGTCAGCGTGGGTGGTTTATCCTGGGCGCTGGGTTGTTGCCGTTGGTAGATGGGCGGTTTTGTGGGTGTTTTCATGGGCGATTAGTCGTAATCCGAGGGTTGAGTTTGCGAGAGGGGGTTGAATTGGGGGCGGTGGTCGCGTTTGCCGTGGCACAGGGTGTGGGAGGTGATGGTGGTGGGTTGTTAGCAAAAATCCGGGGCTGAACAAAGTGGAAACCACCTGAAAGAGCCCATGACCGTTCTCTTGGTCCTTGTCAGCCATAGCGAGGGTGCGAGATGGGCAGGAAGAGAGCAAGGGGGGTGGTGGGGCACAGGCAAGCAAATGGCGGTGGTGGTCAAGTGGTGGTGATGAGAAAGCGGTCGTGACGAAGTCGTCACAGCGATCATCACGCTCGTAACTTGTGGCGAAGTTTCGAATTTATGCACGGCACACTCGAAAATGCGAAATCACGAAGAACGACACATTGTTACCAGGTGTGTCGCTTCTCACATGATGTGTCCTACTCCTCATCTGTGTGTGTGTGTCTCCTCTTGTATATCCTCGTGCGTGCGCCGTGAGATTTGTCAAATGTTTTCGCGTTTTATGTAGAAAAAAAATTCTGAAAACATAAGCATGGGAAAAACATACTTGATTAGGAAGGTAGGGGTAGGGGGGTGTCAAGCAGGACTCTGAAAAAAAAAAAACGAGTGTTGGTCTCTTTTCCACATTCCGCCACCCCCTTGGCACAAACTGGTTCTTGGTTAACATTTCAAACACTAATGTCAGGGGAATGACAAGGCATCTCGGAGTCATAGAGTCCTCGTTATCGACGTCACATCGGTTATTGCGGTTCCTTCAACAATTCAAATTTCCTGCGTGACGGTTAATTTTTACACCGTCGCTTACGACGTTCGCCTTCTTGACGATTATTCTCGTGCCAGAGGTCCCTACTACTTTCTGGTAATTGGCGGATACAAACCGGTGGCAACTTCTTCCATTTCGGGTTCGCGTATGTTTGACAACCGCATCAAACACCATAACCGTCCTATTTTTACGCATCACGCAGTTTGGACGTCTCTTCCCGACACTCTTTCTTGTCCGTATGGTGGTTGGCTTCGCAACGACTCTTTACTCCCATCTTCATCCAGGTTCAAGCGTCCGCATGGTAGCTGCTTGCTGTCCCGTTTTCCTTGACGTTGCCTATTGCGCTCTTCCCCCCGTAACCTCTTGTCCCGACTTACAAACCCTGACGAACATCCGCATGCTCATTTCTCACTTTAAGTACCAAAATCGCTTGTGAGTGGATACTTTTTCTTTTTACTGATCTTGGAATCACAAAACCTAAAGATTATATCTGTCGTGAGTATATTATCACTGCGATTCTGGCGATAAACTGCTTCTAAAGTTTTAGTGGAGATTGGAGGGGCACTCATTACCATTTTTCGATGTGTTTTCTCAGGGATCTCAGGTTTCGGCTTTCGGTTGGCAACGTCTCATCTCCCCGGCCCGCTTATATCATGGACTTCAGTATTATGTTTTGTTGGCCCTTCCTCGCGTTCGTTGATGATGGTACCCCGTGGCAGCGGCGGTGATATATTTGCGGCGAGTACCCAATCAAACCTACGATGGATGGCGCACCTCATACCATACACAAGACGGCGGCTGTACTCCACCACCGTGAAGGACTTCTCGGTATGATCCAGCTGCTTCTCACCCCACCTGAGTTTCTCGGCTGAAGTTAACCCTAGCCGTATGTATGGTTTTCTAACTTACTTTTTTCTGCACTAAATCGCGAATTGAAGCAGGTGCAATCTCAATGGTTTTTTTGCTACTCAGGTCTCAAATTCGTGCTGTGCTGATGAAGGGCTAACGGGTCCGAACTCCCTTCCTTGATCATCAGTTACCGGTTTACTACTGCGGACCCAGTCTTGCTAAAACTTGCGTGGGTAGGCGTGGGCTCTGATTGTTTCTGTCCAATACAAAGTCTTGGCATCAATTCAAGGTTAGAGAAGTTGAAACCCCTCTTTAGGAAGCGATTCTTAGGGTTGTTATGGAAAGAGTCGAGTTGAGAGCTCATAGTACAAGGCAGGCCTTTGAACCCCGTACGTTTCTCGCTTTCTCGTCCCTAGCACCCCAATAAATTTGACTACCCTAGACCACTTCGCTCACGGCTTTACAAAGAACCGTTATAAAGGGCCCAAAGGCGAGCTTGACATGTTAATACGCGGACTAATGACCGTCCCTCGCGCGTGTAAAGTTATCGCCTGCGCCATTGCTGTAACCCAAATGGTTGAATGCGCCCCTGTAAACTATCCTTCCCAGCCCTCATCCAACATCCCTTCCAAAGTAGATGCTGGCGACTCTTACTACGGGCCACCATTTCAACCCTCTCGGGTTGCTCCCGCACTTGATTATTCCACGAGACCTCTCAAAGACATCCAGAGTCATCGACATGATACACCACAGACTCCGGTGCGGACGTTTGAATATCATCACTTAACACTTCTTACCCCTGCTATTTGCAGTTCCGTCTTGCGTTTCCTGTTGTCACACCCATTAAAGATCCATTATCCAATACCCAAATATCAAACTAACAACCTCCCAAGTCATCCGCAGGCGGGTGAAGAAATGCTCAAAGCAAAATTAGGATGGACTGGAAGCCTGGGGATGTATTTCTAATCTATGTATTATCGCGCTGCCATGACGAGTACAACAACAAGTCAATGTCCTTGGAACCGAAAATTATTTTCTTGAACTTGCCGTTTCATAGGCTCAGTACACCTTGATCAAAGGAAGAGGAGAGATCTCTACAATTTTACGCCCCGTGTTCCTTGGCTATAGCTCTGAAAGCTCGTCAAACCTGACTTTTGGAATGTGGAAAGGTCTCAAACCTCAGCCTGCTCCTTGAGTACTGTAGGGTACAAATTTCATGTAAGTAAATCGGAACAGAAAATCATCTAAATAGTTCAGCCATAAGTAACCCGCATTCTTCGAATGCTACCTGAGACGGGCGTTTATTATGTAGCGCTTATTGGATGCGTGGGAGTTTGGATCAACTTCTTCAAACTCAGCCTCATCTTAGCAACCACGACGACTTCGAGCACCTTTCTTTTCATTGTAGTTTAAACGCTTCTTTTTGGAAAGCCATCGATCTGTGGCCCATCGCACATACAGCGTTTTCTGAAGTCGATGGCAAATTCTGATCCAAATCTAGAATCTAATGAGGGAAAGTTCGAGAGTCACCATGGACCTGGTACGCCTTGGCCTATACTATTGTAAAGGACCTGAAGCACTGATCTCCAGTATCACGAACAGCCTAAGTCATATACCAGATACTTCATCTTCGCCTCGGCTGGCTGGATCAATTCGGAAACTGCGTAACATGACCTACCAGCCTTCCTTTGTGCCCTTAAGACCTCGAGATCTCATGACCTTCGCTTCGGTACTGGATCATCCATCAAAATTGAAGGTTTGGATGGCTGATGTGGACGCTGGCCGTCGTGGCGCTCACCCTTCTGTGCTCCGGAACCGAACTCTGCTTGTGAGGAGCCTAGGGACGAAGATGCAGCTCATGTGTTTGGAGTCCCATTCAAGTTGGCCGTCGTCAGGGCCTCTCCCTGTGTCTTGTTGGGCTTCTTGTTTACAGAGGTGTTAGTGGCCTGGCGGTGTGGATTGTCAGGGTTCTCTGGTAAGTCCGTCGTCGTTTATTGATCCTTGCCATTGTTGAGGCTGCAATTGTCAGCCGATAAGTATCGGAATCCACCACGCTCGTTGGGAGCCTATCCACTATGTCCGACAATACGTCGAATAAGGAGTTCTCAGTGTGTGTGGAACACAGACACCCATGTTCCAACACGGGTGTCCCTCGACAACTTTCAATCGAAGGATCAACCGTCCCCATCTGATCCGTCGTTCCTACTGGTGTGATCGTCAGCGCCGGCTCTCATGCCCATGGCATTGCCTCCACCACCATGATGGATAACGCAGCATTTTGTTTTGGGCACTGCTGCTGGCGCTGGTCGGTTTACTGTCCGATTCGGCGTCATCCCCCTTCGTCACAGCTTCTTCAGGGTTTCGTTTAGATAGCTACGTCGTTGTCGTTGTCAACGACTCAGTTGGAAGACTCGCTGACCACTTTCCTTAACACCCCGTTACCGACGGAGTCAAGATGAAGCTGTGCGTGGCACCATACTTCCACTCATCCTCCCACCCATCCCGTATCTGCGCCCTGCCACCTTCCTGCTGGTCCTTCTCCCCACTTTGTCACACCCTGAACGAAGTGATTTCGGGCTTCGATTTTGGATGCAGACCTCAGGAAAGTCCTTGATGTGGTCAATCTTGAGGCGGGGCCCAATGTCGGAGAACACAACTTTCTTTTGAAGCTTTCTCTGTACAAATTAGACTTGCAATCTTTTACCTTGGGTCCTTCCCCATTCTGTGGCAATGTAAAACTTCCCTATCAATTGTCATGGCCGCAGCTAGTATTGACGGTGGTAGCATGGTTGCAGCTTCAGTGTCGGCAGCTCGACCTCTTCGTCACTCCTTGTTCGAGCTTTGGGAAAACCCCTCGTTCAGTAGGACGGAGGACGCTGATGTGTCGTTCCAATGCCAACATTCCGTGTCCCATTGGTTCGCGCTGCCGCAATTTTTACGGGGTGACGGGGCTGTTCATGGGATGGATTTAGAGGATAGAAATACGGAAGAAGTGGAATTTGAGGCATGATCGTAGGGGCATATTCAGGCCGTGAATACGGGTAGTGGTGACTAGCGAACTTTGACCAAACTTTGACTCTGATGTTTTTATCACGTGCGCCCTGACAATTGATCCCGATTTTTTTTTTCGCCATTGCCAACACAATATTGACATCTGCTCCTGACCTCCTCCTGCTCATTTGCTCATTCAACCCAGACGCAACGAAGTTTGTTGTTGTGAGCACGTCAAATTTTCCAAATAGCTGGACGTAGCCCACCAAAAAGCCACCAGGAACGCAAATGCCATCTGCAGGACGCGGACGCTGACCAGCACTGGCAGCGTTACTGCTGATCATATTCTGAAGATCGTTTAACAGGCAAGGCAGGCTCCGGCCTTGCTCTGGAATCACGCTTGGTGCGAAGGTATCTCCAAATGCGAATGTAACCTGAATAACCCATATCAAGACGTAGAAGGACAATGACGATTTGAAATCGTCGTCGGGTGTTCCCCTACAGACTCTCGTCGGCCCGTAAACAGTGGTCCGATTTGATGCTCCTCGATCCGGAGCTTTGGACACGGCTTGTTGTATTCGTGGATAGCCGAGCAACAGCTATCGCTGATTTGCGCGCCCAGCTTTCCGCTCCCCGCGACCTTCCCTTCCGTACCCATCTTCAATCGCCAGGAAACGACTTCTGAGAATGGTGCGGAGGAAGCGCGTGCACAAGCCGTCGTCCACGAGTTTTTCCTTTCTGCATCGGTGTGAGCATCCAAGGTTATGCACAACTTTGGCACAACTTGTCCCTCCCTTCCATCCACCACACTTTCAGCGGGTTTTATTCACTTTTGACAAAGCATTCTATGGTGGACAAAATTTATCATACTCAAGCCGAAGAAAATACCTCGAGTCGACAGGTTCAGCGTTCGCAGACGAATACGAATATCCAAGCTGGCTGCGGGAAACAGAAATGAAGCTAGTATCGTTCTCCCTTTCTCACTTGTTTTCCTTCGACCTCCCCAACTTCACTATAATCAACCTCGTTTCTTTTTTTTTTTGACAAACTTCAACAACGTCTCCACCCTCGAACCAAAATACGTCGACCTTCCTCCTCATGAAGAACGGATTCCCAGAGATTGGAGTTTTTCATTCAATTACGCTTCCCTCTACCTTGAGGTCTCAAGAATGAAACATTCCGAGCATTCGACTGCACATTTTGGGCAATTTGTCAAGCTTCGAAACTCAGGTGATCCGAGCAGCGAGATATCAGGTTCCCACAATCTCACCTCGTACACCCTCCATTTTGAAGAGATCCACGGCACGGAGGACTTATTGGATGTCATTTCCCCATGGCCCAAGCTTTACAATCACTGTCAAGAGTGGATCACGTAGAAGTGACCTACTCCGAGTCGACATACTTACACAAACAGACTACACAGAAACAAATAGTGGATATACGTGTCAAGATGTCATCTTATCAATCGCGCCTCCCAAGCGCCTCCGGCGACCTGAGCATTTTCACCTACCACCTCGAACCTCCCAGACAGAATGCTGGACCGATTTCGTTCAAGACAAATGCCCTCTTCCACATCCCTCCTCCAACGATTTCACACGATGTTCAAGCGCCGAGGACAACCCACTAACCAGAGCGAAAAAAAACCGCATTCCTCGGCCCTAGCTATCCAATCAAATGGGTGGAATATACCACTTCCCCCAGATCTAATGTATCACATCATTGACACCTACCTCGCCACATCCGCTATCATAGCTTTGTGCATTGCCTTCCCAGTTCTCCGGTCATTTTGTCACCCCCAACCATACCGACACATTACTGTCTACATTCATAAAGCCTGGTTACCCTCTCAAAAACTTTTCATTAGGATTGAATTATCCGAATGTCCTCCTACCCTAGAGCAAGACAACTCCATATCCCTTTCGACTCTAGATGACTTAGGCTATGCTGGCACGGAAAAAGCGCGCGGCGTCCTTTCCTTGGTTAGCGATCTAACCCATGATCTAACATCGATCCATCTGGACATCACAGTAAAATGGAACGAACTTGATAAATACGTGAAAGTCTACATCTTCGCTCTTCTGCAACGCAGCGGCTTACGCTCAGCCACGCTGAAAAGCTTCGACTTTCCCGTAAACCTATTGGGTGTGGTGCAGAATCTCAAGACACTCGACGTGGATACGTCTTTGGGGTGTCCTGACAATGTTTATCCGCCGGGAGAAAGAGGAAAGGTGTACGTCGAAGAAGTTCGTCTCCGTGGCGGTCTCCAACATTGCCTCATCGGCCCCAGAACACCGTTTAATTGGTCTAAGTTGAGAGCGATTGAGTACTACGGATATCGGGGTAACCTGCAAGAGTTACTTGAGTTGTGTTCCTCCTCTCTTCAAGTACTAGAACTTGCAATCTATGGTGAAGATGGTGAGCAGTTATTTATCTCTAATCGACCCAAAATTCACATGAACTGTTCATACTCCCAGAATATATCGACCTCGGCGTTCTTGCCGACCTACGTCATCTCACTTTATCCATAAGTCTTACCAATAGTAATGAACAGGCAATGTATGCCAATCCTGGAACCCACTCCTCAATCATGCCGTTCAGGTGGGTCCCCTACATGTTGGCGTCCTGCAACGAGCACAACGCTGTGGAAAAGATTGTCCTTATACTGAGTACGGTAGACCGTCAAGATTTAAGACGGTGTGACTGGCGCTCCGTGGACAAAATCTTCGAGAGGGAGGGGACGTGGATGTCGTTGAAGGAGGTGCTGGTCGTGAATTGTAATTTCGATGAACATTGCACCTATCGCGAACTGCAACCAGATCAGTTGGAGTATATTGAAGCTAGTCCGACGCCTTGTCTTCAGGCAAGGGAGGTAATAAATTGGCGTCAATACGTTAAAGATATCATGTAACCCTTTCCATTAAGTAGTACACTCCGGTTCATCAAATACAATGTGAAGACTTTTGTGCGTAACAATTGCGAGTATATTTTATGTGGGTTCGCAGCTGTTCAGCACGTTAAAGTTAACTCGCTTACGAGGGTTTTTAGGTAATTTGAAAACAATCAGACGGTTGAACCTCGACTTGGATGTGTAGAGAATAAATCTTGGAATAAATTGCTTTTAAAAGTCGAGACGTTGAAGCTTATCAAAGTGACAACATCGTGACACTGTGACCTGTGACTTCTGTTCACCACCGCGATGCCGAGGAATTGCGAATGTACAGGCCGCTGTACTGTCTTTTGTACGTGGTGATATATTCTGTTCAAGTTCTTTAACCCACGTCACCCAGCCTATAGCCATCCTTTCTCGCCTTGTTTAGGGCCTACTTCATCACCTCACTTTATCCTCAGCGGTCGTCATCGTTCATCGCAGCTCAACCAGCGTCATCTGGACATACGCCCTCACAGCGGTACCCCGCCAAGTTGTGTTGAAAGTTTCTCTGATGAGCGCCGCAGCCATGGCGACCCTCTTCTCTTGACATATCAAGGCAGTGGTAGTCATTGTTGCCAAGAATCAACAGTGCTATCAGTATCTCTCCACTGCGGCTTTTTGAGGCGTCAGAACCCTGGACCCTCACCATGGCTGGTACTTATCCTTCCTTACCCTCATTTTCGCCACGTTTTTGCTCATCGGCCTACCCACCACCCCCAGGACGTCATACCCACCATCTTTCCTTTGCGTAGACCCTCTATATACCCAAACACGTCGTCGGTGGTTCGCCATCCTGTTCGTGCTCGATGGATTGTCAACCCACTAATATTCGACGTTCGACCTCAATATTCGTCATTTGAAGGACTCATGAACCACCCCTTGCTTTCCGATTGACTTAGTCGTCTGAGGGAAATCGAACGTAGGGGAGTCAAGCATTTGTGGGTCTGCAGATTATCCAAGAGGCGGAGTAGGCGGAGACTATCCCTGCTTCGAAGACCCAATATGGGACGCCCTGGAACAGGGGATCATAGCTATCCGACGTTGGGCACCGGAACCGTCATTTTTCATTCTTTTAACCACTGGCATCGTTTTGGTCGTTACCTGGGTTGGCATTCTCCACACCACTTTGCCACCACTACCCCCTTTCTTGTTCGGAAGACCGCCGACAATTCACATCCTCAATGTGTTATGGTATCTACTCGTTAGCATGATTGCCTATCATCACCCACTCAATCGTTCGTTACGCGATGCCAATTCCCCGGACCCTTACCCCTTGGCACTAACTGGCACCGCCGCTCTCGACCCGATTTTTGGGACCATTGCCTTTGACGGATCGAGAGACTGTCGCAACCTCTCCATCTTAACTTCCATGTCCCCAAATCATGTCGGACTACGTTCCACTCCCTTGTCAGCGGCCTTAACGATTCACTATCCACTCCGTTGTTCAATCCCACATCGCTGATCACACGTCCTCGTCATCATCGGGTACAACTCAACTCTCGCACCAACTTTGCCAGTTCATTGACGATGGCTGTTGCCTGTTCTTGATGGGCCTTCTTGTTCTTCGTGAACCCTCAACACTGCGCCCTCAACGGTCCGCCTTACTGACACCCTCATCGCCAACCCCCCTTTTCCATACTTGCTTGAGTACCCACCATACATGGGAACCCATCGTCTCCTATCGACACAAGCGCTATGATCAGCCCTCCATCATCCCCCTCATATGACGGAGCCATCTACAAACCCCTGGATTGTCATCAAACGAGTCATTGGTACCCTCATCCTCCCGGTCATTGCCACTAGCGTTCGTCCGATTCATTGAGCGGTTTTTGACTGCAGTGAAGGTCGTCGCGGTCAGATCCCGGAACCTTCTCATTGATGATTGCTCATTCTTCTTGTTGTCGAATTCTACATTGCCTTCGCACTTCATTTGTGGACTCTCTTCACCATTTTCGCCTTTGTCACTGATAGGGCTTGTTCAATCCATCTACCACACCTTCTCCATCCGCTTAGCCACATGAGCGAGAAATAACTGACTCTTTCTTGTCTTATTCGCTAGTCTGTAGACGGGAACAAGCATTTTAAGATTGCCAATGTTTTCTGTGTTCCAACGGCGGCATTTCCTGATCAGTTTAATTCTCTCAAGCTCTGTAACGCTCTCAATTTGATTGGAAGCGAGTGGGCTTCGGGTTTCTTCGGTTGGTAAGTCATCTTTCGGCGTAGTTATCACCCCCGATTTCTAAAACTGTCCTCTAGCATGCATCGCCCATTCTACTTCAGGCCCGATAAGCTTAGTTGGTGGCCAGCGGTCTGGTTTCTTCCCTATGCAGACCCAAGAGACCCACAAGCCTTCCTAGTTAGCTTCTATAAACGGATGGTCACACCTCGGCATCTCACAAAGATCTACCCCTGGGGCGACTTTGCTGTGCGTGACCGTACGAAATCGTTATGGCCGAGATCTGGATTTTATCTGAAGAAGCCAGCCGGTAAAAATGGTGGCACCTCCGTCTCAGCCTCCCCCGCACAACCGAGAGCACTGCGGGCTGTGCCGGACATAAGGTTGCTCATTTCATAACAAGCGCAACCGTCAATAGCCTGGGGAGAACGGTCTTTAGCTAGTGGCAGGAAGGAGGGTGTCGTGTCGGAGAAAGACATGGGTTTTCGTTGGCTGATCCGTCATGACGGAAAAAGCCTCACGGATATGAGGTTGTGCGTATATTCACGCCAATCCCGCAACTCTCAATTCAGCTCAACATAGGTAAGGGTGGCGAGTCTTTCGAACGCTTGCTTACGTGTGGCTTCACTTGTTTCATAGATCCTAGCCCAACCAACTTGAGTATGACTCCGTGACGCTCAGGCACGCGGAACAAGAGGAAAAGTCAAGGTGTCTCAGAGTGGTATGTTCAACACTTTCCACGTCAATATAATTTCATACGAGTTAAGGTGTTGCTGATTCGGGTCTTGCGCAGGATAACATCAACTTAAATTCCCAATTTGCATAAGGGCTATACGGCAGCAACACCCTTACCTATGCAAACTGATCGATATAGATCTTGAATCTGGTTGAAACCAAGTTATGAGCGAAAGCAGCGGGGCTAGGGTACATGATCCGTGGACCCGGAATCAGCGGGCATAAACCCCATACCAGAATGAGGAGCAGGCTGTGCCGGCTCACATTCTCCCATACTCTCCCACCTGTCCGTCCCTTGATAACCAACGATCTCAGATATCAACACTCTAGGCCGTTGTGGTGAAGAACGCAATTTGCCGATACTATTAGTCGACGTCACCAGTTCGCCGTCAGCAGTGCACTTCATTCTTATCAAGGCTATCTCATATTAAAAGTATTCTCCGTAAGGCTACACAAATGTGGATCTTCGCGAGATCTTTCTTGCAGGTAGGTAATCTTTCCCTGACAGTCGCAATGATTACATGCAGACATTGAACCCAATCAAACAGGGTACATACGATTCTGCAAAGGAGATCGATCCATGCCCTGAACTCCATTCCATCGATAACGGGTTTACATTCGATTCGTCCCGCCAGATCGCCTTGCGTTTGGAAGCACTACTTTGACTTTTAGGCTGTGAATCATCACAAAGTCCGCATGACCTCCACGCAAAAACTGAAGGTCTGGATAATTTAGTCCGCGATCTTCTCCTGGATTGCGTAGACTACGTCGAGACCACCAGACACCACAGTCAAGCTGTAGGAGTAGGACATGAAATCCGACGGACCTTTTGACAGCGGAGATGATTAACGCTATGTTTTATGATGCTTCCTTACAACCAAATAATTCCTCATGATTCGACCGCTAGAAGTGCGGCTGTAAAACCTCGAGGGGTCACATTGCGATACCAACAATGAGGCGTTTAATGAATTTTCTTTTTGCAGCGACGTCCTCACAGAAGAGGGATTCAGAAGGTAGTTGTGCCTGTCCCAACATTTGTCAGAGATCGGCAGACAGCGTGGAAGTATGACGCGCCCGGCGTCGTTAAACGTAGTGAGATCTAGCCACTATATAGTAATATTGCATATTCCGACATACTTAAGCGAAAGAAACAAACGTGATGTTGGTGCTGTGGACGTTATCTAAGTCAACTTCAACCACACCAACGCAAATGTAGAGGATTTTGCCCGTTTTACAGCCGATGTGAGGCGCTACCATCCCCAATTGCTAAATGCCATCAAATTAACCCGCATTCACAGACAAACATCTTGTCGATGAAGTCTTCTAAGTACCTGCCCTTTATTGTTATTCCCTGATGGGGAAACGACTTTATGGCACGTTTGTTTTAAGCATGCAGAATTCGCGCATCCAGGCAAAATTTCAAACATGAACGTTGGATACTGCGGTATTGGGTGAATGATCCCCTCTAATCTCGGGTTTGGATTTACACCATCGCCGAGTGGTGCATTCTGTCTCTTTTCAGCCGAACGGGGTTGTTTGCTCAGCTGGGATTTGTCAGGATCTGTTGTCCATCGTTGAATTACAATTACAAGTAGGGTATTGACCTACTTTTTGTGAAGCGGTATGCGAGTGAGTATGCGACACCTCGTCTGCCGCGCAATTTTTTTTTTGAATCGTTGAATTCTCTTGAAGGTACAACCTCCTTCCTAAGTATCTGCCGCCGACTTACCACGGATCCATCATAGCTATCCTCATCTTCAAGTGACAAACCCATCACACTTTGGCAAAAATGGGTCGACAATTGATCATAAGTATCAAAACGGTGTTTCTTGGTGTCGAAATATTCTAATTCTCGAGATGGATCCTGTTGAAATAATCTGCAAGCATGGAGGTTATAATCAGCTGTTGAGAGTCTTGAGACGCACATACAGTCTTGATTGAGTCGAGTGCGCATAAGTCATTTTATCCTGCTCAGCACCAAAAAGGACACGATTCGGACCCTAATAAAGGTGGTCAGATGAGGCTTCCCATGTCTTGAGATATTTGCTGGACACCGGTCAATACATTATTCTATCCTTCAGCACAATCTATTCAGATGACCAAATAAACAACCACTCAAGGCAAGCTGTCATTATGCCAGGTGATACACTGGTGATACCTGATAAAAACAAAAGTATATACAAAAGAGCAGTATTCCTCCCATACGGGCCGCCTCAGACCTTTTTGTCAGTGCGATCTTGGGTGAGAGATTTCGATCTCCCTCGCTTGAGACTCAAGTACGCCTCGATTGTCCAAAGACCAGAGGCGAACCCAAATATCAGCCCGCGAGGTGAACTTTCGATAGAAGCCATCATTTGCGCGGAATCGCTTATGTAGCCGTCGGCGCGCACGGACCATGGGGCAACGTATATATTCGGAGTCCAAACTACTGTTGATCTCTTACAGTCACCTCCTTCGCACATTGTGTTACGATCTCAGCTGCACCGTATGTTCGTGGGCGGTTTGTGGAGCGCGTGGAGAAGACAGACCTTGCATAGGTTCCTGATCTGGGCATGCCGTTTGTCGACATTCCTTACTGGCGTAGTGGCTAATCAGATCTGGAAACATTCCTCGCATATGTGTTTTAGTACTTTCAAATGGATAATATTACTTTGTTGTGTTCGTTGAGTAAAGAAAACTTGCAAGAAAAGAGGACATTTGATGAGAAATATTTGATTGTTTCAGGTCTTGGCGGAGGAGATGTTCATCATGTGAACTTCGGCCCCCATCACTCAGGGGAGAAAGCCCTCAAAGTTGAACGAAGAAGGAAATATGAAAGGGAGCAGCGATTCACAAGGGAATCTGCCCATCATGAGTACGTCACCTTTTTTGACGGTCTATGTATGGCTAAGTGACCTTGGGAGGATCGTGACATGACACTTCAGCCTAGAAAATGCGGGGTATTCCTGAAACTTTATACATCGCATAAATTTTAAGCAATCTCGGTGAGGGTCCTTGAAATTTCGTAAGGCACTTCGACAGGTATGGGCTTATTTGATTTTCATCCGAGCATTTGTGACCGAGAGAAGACGGACTATAACGGCGACGGAGATAGCGGTGTCGGTCAAGGAGATATACTTCGAACAGACTTTCACCTACATACATACTCGCAGGAGCGAATAACGCTGCAGATGACGTTTTAAGCTTGTGAGGAACAGTGAAGTGAGGCGACTGTGGGTGGGCTTTGTCTTCGGGGGGAGGGGATGAAGCAGCCACGTCGTTTGAGGCAGGACTGGGCAAAAATGATTCACATATCGGCGCAAGATAGCTGTGCAGGGATCGTAACCTGGTGACCTCCTTTCCACCTGCTTCAAGGGAGAATAAGTAGAGGATGTGATGGGCTGTCGCGAAGCTCTCCCAAACTCCGGATCCCCAAATAGCTTGTTTGCATTCGGTATAAATGAGCATAAATTTATGGAATTGGCTGAATGTAAAACGTTCGTAAGGTAGTTACATACGGTGACAAACTTCGTCAAAAGTCTCAAACCTTGTCCTTGCTATCGATGAGCGCAGGCCAGGAAGAGCATAGGAGATCACGGTGATGTGGACCATTGAGGATCGTACGTCGCGTGGTCGTCCATTTGAATTTTGATCGCAAACTTCCACGGCAAAATTAGTCTGTGAAATTGTGCTGAGCTTACGAATCGGAATACGCGGTGTCAACAGCCAAACGATCCTTTTTCGACGGAAACATTAGCGCCACCACCCGATGCAGCCTAGTACCTCTTGCCCTTGGTGCCTTTTCGGGTTGGGAGCACGAGATGTCTCAATGGTATAAGCGAGTGCATAAGAGCTTGTGCGGGTCTACCATGTCTCGGTTCGACTCATGCCTTCTTCCTCCCTGCCCCTGCGCTTTCCTCGCCGTTTTGTGAGTTGACAGGCCCATTCCGACGGAAATGCACTCGGGAAGGACCTCCAGCGGCCGTCGAATGCCATCATCGCCATCCAGGGACGGACAAGCCACGCCCTCACACCAGTCCCAAACCTCTCTTCCCTCCATCCACCAACTACACCCCGACCTGCCTCCATCCGGTGGTATGTCCCAGCGTATGTGGCCCGGAGACACATCTAGCTATGGCTACGCAGCGCCCGCCCAATATGCACCTCATGTTGACGCTGGCCCCTCTCCGTCGCTGTTTGGAGGTAGCGGTCAGCGCGAATCAGAGCTGTACGGAGGCGTGGACTCAGATGGAGACGATTATGATCACGGTCCGCCCAAGAAGAAGCGGCGCAGACAGGCTTTGAGCTGTACGGGTAATTACAACTCTTCATCTCTTCGTTATACGTGATATGTTGACTCTCTTGGCAAATCTCATCGACATCATCCACTTTTCAATCTACCAACTGATTCCTCATTATTGCGACTTACGATCCTATTCAACCAATTGTGCGGGCATGTCGCCAGAGTGTAAGCGACGCAAGATCAAGTGCGATAGGTGGGTGTGATCGATCGCGGCGCGCATGATTCGTGGTCTGAGTCCTATTTTTAACAGAACACAGCCTTGTGCGCCTTGCACGCGCCGAGGCGAACAGTCCAAGTGTCAATGGCATATTGTCGAACCAGTGTTAGTTTGAGTTCGTTATCAACTGATTTTCCTTCACCTCATGTGTCCTTTTGCAGCGAGAAGTATGTAACCAGAGCCGAGTATGACGAACTCAAGGGGCGATTTGAGCAACTTGACGCACTCGTGCGTCGTCTCTTGCCCACAACAACTGTAGCTTCCACAAGCATGCCTTATTATCAACTGGCGCATACGGGGGCTGGAGGAGCATCAGGGGTGTCAGTGGAGGCTGTGCAGACGTATAACCCCAGCACAACCCCAGGTGTATCTGGACCCATTGCCGGGTATCCGTCCATGATGCCTCCCCCACCGCCACCACCGCAAGGCACCTATCCTCAACACATCGAAACATCGAATCAGGCACCTCATCGATACATCAAGACAGATGACTTGCAATCCGGCGCACGGCACCAAAATGTGTATCATCCGGCATCGACGTCTATGGGGGGACCGGTTACCTCACCGCTTCTGTCAACAGCAACTCATCACACTCTTCCTCAACACAGCCCGCTTCTACCATCTTCTCCCTCTAGAAGTCACTATCGCCGATCTCCCGAAATGTTAAGATCACCAAGCACGACCTCTGCGACAATAAAGAGCTCTGCGCTCTCCCTCTCATCCATTACGTCCCCCTACAACGTCAACCCTGACCAGTCAAAAAATTACCACGCGCAGACGCTCACACTGGGCGAGCGTCTGCGCCCCGAATTTCAGGCTCCAAGCGGCCCAGTGGTTCTTTTTTTAGGGATGGTCCGTCAGCAACGGGGACGTCGGCTGAGGGGATGTACGTTGACACCGGTGGGGCGAGTGGGATCCATCAGCAACAGCAAACGAGCGCGCCGCCGTCCTCTTTTCAATTTCATCAACCTTCTTCTCAACCGTCACGGAGGTACAGCGATACACCCACCATGAGCTCCACCATGCGCACTGCTACCCCCTCCGCTGCGGCAGGGCTCACTTCCCCACATCTGGTCCAAACACCGGATCAAGAGAGGGAAAGATCACACTCTTCTGCCGCAACCCGCGACCGCTGATCACCTGTGTTCGGTCACCTGGGCCGTATACTACTGTCAACCTATCATCATTTGCGTACTTTGCTTTTCGGTGTAATCACTTGTTGGGTCAACTTCTGGGATTATATCGCCCATCGACATAGCAATCTTGCTGCTCAAGGGCATCCACTCTCTTTACTCTCGCCTTTTCCGCACGTCCACATGTGTGAGTTCATTCTGTAGGCCCTTAAATACCCACTAACCATCATATTCTTATTTAGTGGTCCATAACCGCTCCTTCGCCTCTTCACTTCCAAATACTTCTTTACACTAGATACCGGCGCTATGCACTCGCTTTTTGTTCGATCTACTTTGTGCTATATTTACTCATTTGTATTCAACCTTTCTCGCGTATCACCGCGCGACACGGACATACACATCTTCGATTCTCTGGTTTTTTTTGCGATCGTTATTTACCATAGGTTCCCTGGCATGCAAGTAAATTATTAGCACTGCCCATATTGCCATTAAGAGATTTGTCGTTGATATACCTCCCCTTCTTCAAAATTCTTGTCCGTAAGGGGTCTTTTCAGGCCGGTCTATGTTGGTGGTCTTCGAGGTTGGTTTTGGTTTGGTGTCCTCTCGATTATCCTCTTTCTTCTCCGAGCCTCCGCTGTTCAGGCGAAATGTGATCAAGCAATTGACGTATGATGCGATCACGGACAATTTCACCGCAATTACCGGTTCCGTTTCTCTGAGAAGATTTGGTCGGCTCCGACGATCCGCTTTGTGTTTATGGTATTTATGAGAACATCATAACCAATGGGTAGATAAAACAAATGAATTATTGCTGCATCTTGCATCAGAGTCAGAGTCCTCGTATTCTTGACCTGTAGGCCTAGTCAAATTTGTTGCATATGCCATAACCTGTTGACGCTGCCATACCTTGATCACTTGCAAGTTTGTGACGCGTACTCATAAACGCGTTATGTCAACGTTATGTGGTTGTGTGTACGCGACCTCTAAGCACGTGGTAGTCAGCGTTTTGTTATTACATAAGTTGACGGTGAGTTGACATTACTTGCTCTTGGTTGCTTGGCTCAGCTCCCACCTCAACTTCACGTCCCTTGACTTTGTCGCCAACTCATCGGACGATCTCCCTTTCACCTTGAAGTTCCAAATTTTACGAGGACCGTATCTCTGGGAATTGGCTTCTTGCTTGCGTTTTTTCATTTTGTCATATGGGCGCTAATCAAGACGTTGCTCAGCGGAGGAAATACGCGCTGGCGCAGCGACCGCTTTGTACACAACCACAAACATCCATGAAAACTTGTGAAGCGGGATCATCCCTATTAGACGGCCGAGGAGATGTAGAGCTTGTGAGTATGTCATACTTACCTGTGATTCATCCAATTTCATCTGACGGCGCAGATGTGTGGAACAACGCCCGGGCCTCGTTACGGTGCGACTTACTGATTTGTAGTAAAATGTATGATCTTGACTCATCCCCGCAGTTTACTATAAGCTATACACCAAAGACGGTGCACTCGAAACTAACCGACCCATCTACTCCAACGATCGCTTCATCAGCCGGGTTTTATCCAGATCCGTAGCACCCCCACACACTGCAGGCTCTCTGAAACTACGCCTCCGCAAAATCGAGGGCTTTGAAGAGGGTGACTTGTATTTGTCGATCTCAGAAAAAAGCCACGTGGAAGATTCAACCCGTCTTTCTCTTCGCAGGCAAGTTGGACCTGGACTGTCTAAGGATGATCCCGTGGCTCTGGTTGTGAGCGACCCCGAGAAGCGGTTTGTGGTTAGCTCTACAGGCAAAGAAAAACTGGTGGAACTATCTGACCAAGGGGCAAAACGTTACAGTCTGTCTTCGTCAGTCAGTATTCTCAAGGCAATTCGCTGATTGTCTTTCTTCCGTTAGTCTACTATCGTATATACGACCAAGGTGGACAGGCCGTCTCAAATACCGCTTTCCATGAAGACGACACATCTCTGGGTCGCCTGGAGGTCCTCTCTGTTGCACCCCCTCAAACGGTTGCTTCTCTGAAGCGTCGAATTATCAAAGTTGAAGGAATTGTGAACCACGATTGTGAATTATTCGGGGACGAAAGCGGCGAGACTACCATGAATGACGATGATACCATTTCCTTTTCCGCTGACAGCTATCCTTGTATTTCTGAAGATGAACCCATAGCCGTTGTGTACCAATTACAGAAGCAATTCGCGGCGCCTCCCCCTCCAACCGGCAACACAAAGCAGCTGAAAGCGACGTCTGGAGCTTGTGAGCAATAATCAGTAATATTCGAAGGTCTCCATGATTCATGTCCTTGTAGCATGGGGAATTACTGATCCAAACTGGCACTCAATAACAATCGGGGAGATTTTCCACACGGATGGAGTGATAAGAACAAAATTTCATTGTAACCCTGGATACGGTACATTTTTTTTCCAGCTTTATTGTAAATTTTCTCACTAATACCTTCTCTTCATCAATAGAATTTCAATGCTATACGGCTACAAACTCATCTGGAAAGGAGGCCTGTAAGTAGCTTCCTACCATTACAGAGGCCTAGTTTCCTTATATCTGTTTTCTTTTTCAGACGTTTTTATAGGTGAGAATTGTTTCTATGCCATCCAGATTCATCAACTCAGACAATACAGGTTATGCGTCTTTAATCTGATCCCCGAATTAAGTCGAACATTCAAACCACCACCGCCCCAGCTCCCACCAAAAAATTTGAACTGAATCGCCCTGCTTTTTAAATTTTGACATCTCAAACTCAGCCCAGCTTCCTCTTTCGTCTCCCGAACGACTGTATCAAGTTTCATCCTCGCAATTCGTACATCAGAGGGCATCTATCTTCAGTTTCAGTCCGCTCCAAGTCCGCTCTACTATTCGCCAATATCACTTCCGTTACTGACTCCACTGGCAGAAGAAGAGTGTTGACATTCACAGGCATACCAGCTGCATACCCGAGTGTATATTCCGCCGTTTCTAATTGGATGAAATGAAGCCGGTGGTGTCCCTGCTGCAAGGGACAATGTACCTTGATGATCTAGTTTACGCTTTCACCGCAAGGTATTCCTCTGGGACAAGAAGTTAACGTTGACTCTTATCTGGCAAACTTCATCCATCCGATGACTATGACATTCATAAGGAATCAGAAGAACAAAGGTACTGATGATAACCCTAAGCCGCCCAAGGCCTCTTCGGGGTAACCATATCGCCCTCAGTAGGCCCAAGAAGGCCCAAGAGCGTGAGTTTGCGATCTATGCAACCCATCCATCAGCGCGCGGAGGGGTTTGACATCTGCATCACAAAGGGTCGTCGAAAAAAACATACATTCAATGCGATGAAGAAATTCAAAAATAAAAATTGAAATTCTTTTTCCAAATAATTGTACTGCGCCAAATTTCAAGCTCAAGTTCCACCATTCCGTTCAGCTATCAAGACTGAGCCGAACTCCCAAGTTGAACCAGATTGCTTCATTCGGTTGACCCTCTTAACGAACACCACACCCAATTAACACGTAAATGGAAATCACAGCATTGGTCTTGTCCTTACTTAAATTGAACTCTCCCACTTAACGGTCGTGACACTTGCCGCCCGCCTGTGATTACTGATCTCACCCTTATTCGTTTGTTGTATAGCTTTCAAGCAACCTCAAGGCTGTGATAACTCTTTCATCTCATGTACGCTTCCACCTCAAAGCTCGAGCTTTCAATACGCCGATATTCATGGAAGGAATTCCAAGCCGTGCAATTGAGATACCACAGCAATTGCGAGGATACATGCCTGAGCGCCTATTTATTTTTGTCCTGTACCTTGACCGATAATCATTCAAATCCCTTACGGCGGGAAGAGAATTCCATTTTCAGCAATCGATATACAATCTTTCTATGCGCGGTGTCTTGGAATACGTACAAGAAGAGAACATACACTCAGCTACACCCAATTCTCAGCCTCGTTGAAGCAAAACTTGAGAGCTTCGCGCCAAACTCTTCCACTGAGCTTTTCTCACTGCTCAAATCTGACCCAGCCGAAGTAACCACTTACATATATGCCGCGATGATTGAATGGGGGGGAACCTCATAAACCCGAAGACGGCCTAAAAGTTGAACACACGCCCAAGTTAAAAATAGGTGCACATTGATTGATCGTGCTTACCCCATTAGGACTTCCCCAAGTTTTCCCTTGTTGATCAAGAATATAAGGTGGAACTTCTCCAAATACCTTTCCTGACTCTATCATGACCGAAGAACAGAAACCTCTTATTCACCCCGTCGCTCCTCGTTTGAAATCAGGTCCTAAAACTCCTCATGTTGGGCCGCACATACATGCGTACCGCGACGCCCACAAGGAAACTGTGGGGCATGAGTCGGATAAATGGTGGGCGCATGTACGTCGTTCATTCAATCGGTTGAGCGAAACCAGATGATATCTTTTCGTACAGAAAGCTAGAGAAATGCTGTACTGGGACCGCCCATTCCACACAGTCAGATCAGGGGGCTTCCAAACTGGAGATATCGTGTGGTTCCCAGAGGGTGGACTGAACGCATCGTACAACTGCGTAGATCGATGGGCTTTCAAGCATCCTGACAAGGTAATCAACTCTTTTGACCTTGAGTCAATCAAGTCATAATACAAACAGACCGCCATCATCTACGAAGCGGATGAGCCCGGAGAGGGAAGGGAAATCACTTACGCCGAGCTTCTCCGCGAAGTTAGCAGCATCGCCAATGTTCTCAAATCGTTTGGTCTCAAGAAAGGCGATACCGTCTCCGTTTACCTTCCTATGACGTGGCAGGCAGTCGCAGTCTTCCTCGCCTGCGCGCGTATCGGCGCCGTCCACTCGGTTGTATTTGCCGGCTTCTCTGCTGAATCTTTGCGCGATCGCGTTCAAGATTGTAGCTCACGCGTTGTCATCACCTCAGATGAGGGCAGGAGGGGTGGCAAACCAATCGCAACCAAGGCGATTGTCGATGCTGCGCTGAGGGAGTGCCCTCTTGTTGAGCATGTGCTAGTTCTGAAAAGGACGGGAGGTCAGGTCGGTTGGACGGAAGGGCGCGACAAGTGGTACCACGAGGAGATCGCAAAGGTGCCAAACTACTGCCCACCTGAGATCATGGCGTCTGAGGACCCATTGTTCATCCTCTATGTGATTTTTTTTATGCTTCAGATCAAGCACGCTTATAGTTTTCGCTGTTAGACATCCGGATCTACCGGCAAACCAAAGGGTGTCGTCCACACCACAGGAGGGTATCTTCTTTGTGCAGCCCTCACTGTCAAATACGTCTTTGATGTCCACCCCGATGACAAGTTCGGGTGCATGGCTGACATCGGTTGGATCACTGGTCACACGTACGTTACATCTTCCTCAGTCATCCACAATTCTTACATGATATCCAGATATATTGTGTACGGACCTCTCGCCAATGGAGTTACTACCACGGTGTTTGAATCCACCCCCGTATACCCCACCCCATCCCGCTATTGGCAGACAGTTGAAAAGCACAAACTCACTCAATTCTACACTGCGCCCACTGCCATCCGTCTTCTGCGACGCCTTGGCGCTCACCATGTCGAGAACCACGACCTCAGCAGCCTGCGCGTCCTTGGCAGCGTGGGCGAGCCCATCAACCCAGAGGCGTGGGATTGGTACAACGAACACGTCGGTAAGAGGCAGTGCGCGGTTGTGGATACCTTCTGGTAAGTTGTACACATTCTGTGAGGTCCACTGATGCTGAACGCTCACAGGCAAACGGAGACTGGGTCGATCGTCGTCACACCGTTCCCTGGTGCTATCGAGACCAAGCCCGGCTCCGCGACTGTCCCCTTCTTCGGCATTGAGCCTGCCATTCTTGATCCCATTACAGGCAAGGAGTTGGAAGGTAATAACGTTGAAGGTGTTCTTGTCCTCAAGACGCCGTGGCCATCCATTGCCCGTACTATCTACAAAGACCATAAACGCTACCTCGAAACCTACATGAATGTACGTTTTGCCTTTTTGACTTTGGTTCGGGCTGACCATGTCCAAGCCATACCCTGGTACCTTTTATACTGGAGATGCAGCGGCGCGTGATGAGCACGGATACATCTGGATCAAGGGCAGAGTTGACGGTGGGTTATCTATCCTTTTACCCAGTTACTTGCGCTCATACCTTTCACAGACGTTATCAACGTAGCTGGCCATCGTTTGTCTACTGCCGAGATTGAGTCGGCGCTTATCATGCACAAGGGAGTTGCTGAAACTGCTGGTGCGTTATCAAAATATCATTCCATGCTGTGCTCAGCATCCCACCTCATAGTCATCGGAACCACTGACGAAGTAACTGGACAAGCCGTTTCCGCCTTCGTTACCTTGAAACCGTGAGTATCATCTAACCTCAACGCCAGGCGGGTATTCACCAGCCAACAGTGAATACGCATACGATCCCAACGACGAATCCGGCTTGGTCAAGGAGCTCGTGCTCCAAGTGCGCAAGGTAATTGGACCGTTCGCGGCTCCGAAGAAGGTTTATATCGTGAGCGACCTGCCCAAGACGCGTTCCGGAAAGGTGCGTGTTGTTTGAAGGCGCATTGAGTGGAGCTGACGTATTTCCTTGAAGATCATGCGGAGGATTATGAGGAAGGTTGTCGCGGGAGAGGGTGACCAGCTTGGTGATCTTAGCACTGTCGCTGAGCCTGCTACGGTGGAGGTCATTAAGAAGAGGGTGGCAGGATTGTAACGAACTCTAGAACTGCTTGTGTATTTTCAATGAGACTTGACTGAATGAATGTGTTCCCATATCTCTGGTACTGTCCCTTAGTTAAATGTCCTCAAGGGGGTTGGATGTAATTACATGCAAATCACAGAGCGAATCTCTGACCCAGTTTGTCGCACTCATGAATCTTTTCTTGACTGACCGGAGAAATTTGCAGGTCAATTCTAAAGATGGTCTGTGTTGGGCTGCATACACCAAAGCGGCGAGGGGTACCAAGTACTTAGGACTTGAAGTATGGATAAGAACAAGGTATTATGATTGCTATATCTTGAACGGGAAAGCAATAAAAACTCGACAACAAAGCGACAGAGAATGGGTGAAGGTAGGGTATGTAAAGTATGACGATGCGAAGCGAATAAGTTAGGTATACATCAAGATGGCAACAATAACGTAGGGGAGAAACAAAATAGATAAATGCAATGACGTGAAGCAAATGCGGGGAACAGGATGAGCACACCTCTAGCCAAGGTCATGAAACCTGGCCAATAAATCGTTCAAGAACCTCGCCACCATCCCAGCCCCAAGCCTAACCTTCTCCCTCTCCCTCCCCTCTGGAACATTTTTCAAAAATCGCCCTTCGAACCGATCGGGGTGCCACTTCCTGATATGCTCCCTCAACCTCTCCTTCGACCTCGCCTTATCCCTCCGCAGATCAAACGCCGACAAAATATACGCTGAAACCACGACGAGGGTGAGATCGCCAGGGTTTTTGGGCCCAGCAAAGCTCAAGACGGGCCAAGGGAAGTCAGACCAATGAAGAGATGTGTATTCGGCGATGCGAGACCACTGTTGGTCGTGGAAGATAAGGAGTTTGATGGTGTCTTCGTCGGACAAAAGGCCATGTGGTGACGGGTAGGGGTCGCCATTGTCAGACGATGATGACGACGTGGAACTTGTAGATGAGGTGTTAAATTCGGCTTGAGCTTGCCGCTTGCGTTCTGCGGTCCGCCGCTTGATCTCCTCTGCCCGTTTCCGAAATTCTTCCTGCTGCCGCTCGTGTTTTTCCTGACGTTCGCGCGCAGCCGCTTCCTCTGGCGTTTCGTGTTGATCATCGAGGATCTTGGTATTTGTCCACACAGAGGACGCGGGGGATTTAGTATCCGCCGAGCCCGCAGTATGAGGTGTTGGCTGGGTTGAGGGCATGGACGTGGTGGAACATTTGACTTTGTCAGGTATGGTGGTTTCGCGCGATGGCCTTTCAACTCCAACGGGTGTGCCCTTCTTCCTCTCGATGGCCTCCAGAATAGCCTCCTGTTCCTGACGGAGAGCAGAAGACCACTCCTCCGGCATCACCCCACAGTGAGCACTCCATTCCCGCTCCCTTCGCTCTCTCTCAACTGCATGCTCGTACTCCTCCCCAGCGATGGCCCGAAGAAATTCCACACCCCTGGTGTACTCCGCCGTCAATTTGTATCGCGTTTCCGGGCACGTCAGTGGTACATTGGCGACGTCAAGCTCGAAAGACGTCCGAGCATCTTGTAGCATTTTTTCGAGGTTGTCGTTGATTCGGCTCTGTAAAGCGTGCTTCCAGGCAGCCTCTGGTTCAAAATCGACGTGAACCCGTGACATTTTGAGGGAACGAGCGTAAAACGCTGGAAGTCGATCAAATTTTTCTACAAAAAAAAATAGTGAAGGGAATCCATTCGAAAGCATAAATGCCCTTACAAGAAATTTCAGCCTGATGTGCAACAGCTTTGCACATTATTTGAAGAGAAATTTTGAAAGAGAAAAGGAGAAGACAAGGATGAAGTTGGGAGGAAGAGAAAGTGCTGGCCGGGCGTAGGGGACTTTTCAAGTTGTTATGTTACACCGTTTCAACCAAATAATGGAAAACGAACACCTACTCTTGCCCTTGAACTTGAACGTTTGAACGTTTGGACTTTGGAACGTTACAGATACGAACGGGGCGTGTGGTGCATAACTACTCAATCGTGTTCAGGGTGGAGTTTCCTCTGTTTATCTGAATTCGCAGTATCTGATTAGACCGAGATTAGACCGCCGGCATCAACATCGAGTATGGGGAAGTGAGCGGCATAGTTATCTAGTTATGCCGCCTACAGTTCACCATCTATAACTCTGGTAAGTGTGGTTATGGCTCAATGTAAATTAAGCTCTAAAAGTGCCAGCCTACTAGAAACTTCGGAATTTTCTTTTCAGGAAGAAAGTTCCGAAGTTTTCACTGCTAGAGTGCAGCCTCATGCAGCTCGATCTATCTTCTTATCATCCTATCGTCTGGCACCAGCAGTTGGAAACCCGAATGCCAGCTGACCTTTTGGCCAAGAAATAGTCCGACGTAATTCCGGGAATCGACGTAAAATCGTAGGGAAGTAGTAAAGACCTCCGCGGTTTCATCCTTCAATTCGCCACGGGGTCTCTGGCTAGATGGGGATCGAGAACTACGACGCCTCAGATATGAACTTGCCTCATCAATTCGATATACCACCTTGCCCCTTCCGCAATGTCTGGATTCGCGCTGCAATGTCTTGCGTTGCTCATGGCATCCGCCGCCACCTACCTTGTGTTCATGACTGTCTACTGGCTTTTCTTCCATCCTTTGTCGAAGGTTCCGGGCCCAAAACTGGCAGCTATCAGCGGCTTGTACATGGCTTACTACGATATCGTGATGCTTGGAGGAATGGTTGATCAATTGGAAGTTTTACATGAAAAATACGGTTCGAATTAAACTCCTACTTGTCTTGTTGATAATTGACGCTTCTTCATTACAGGACGTGTCGTTCGAATTGCTCCGGGAAAGGTGGATAACTCACAGATTTAAGATTATCCGGATGATATCTTAAAATTTCTTAGCTACATTTCAACGATCCACAGGTGTTCGACCAAATATACCGATCGAGATTCACAAAGGAGGCCTGGTTCTACGATGCTTTCCTCGCGTCAGAGTCCTCTTTCGCTTGCATTGATCCACGAAAAGCGAAGATCCAGAAGGATATTATGCGTCCGTTGTTTTCTAGAAAGGCGATCCTCAAATTAGAGAACGTTATACAACGGGGTGTAAGTGCCACACCGTTCTACATCCACTGTGTGATATGCTGACAATACCCCAGATTGATAAATTCCTTCAGGCGTTAACGCAATACCAAAACCCACTCCGACCATTCGACCTCCATCATGGATATCTCTCAATCTCAATGGAAGTAGTTACCACCTATTGCTTCGCCAAATCGTTTGAAGCCATCGATTATCCAAACTTCCAGCATCCAATGCTACTTTCCCTCGACTCCTCTGGCTTTATGATTTTCCTCATGCAACACTTTCCTTTCGTCATACCGTTTATTTTGGGCATTCCTCACTGGCTCGCACGTCGCATCAGTCCGGATTCCTTGGAGATGCAATTTTTTCTGAAGACGCTTGAGTCTCAGATTGATAAAATTCTCGCTAACCCGACGACGTTGGAGAGCGAAGAGCACCCCACTATTTACCATCATTTTCTTGCGACAGATGCCCAGGTGAAAGTGTCCAAAAAGGCACTTCAAGATGAATCTGCGGTGCTGTTGGCTGCTGGGACTGATACAGTGGGGAATGCATGTATGATTGGGACTGTGCACTTGTTGAGCAATCGGGCGCTGAAAGACGAATTGGTTTCCGAATTGAGAGCTGCGTGGCCTGACTTGGACAGTCCTCTGAGCCTCGAAAAGCTCGAGAAACTGCCTTACCTTGTGAGTTCTTTTTTGGGAATTTTGCTGTGCGATTTTTCTCAAACGTGGTTGTTAGACGGCTGTAATTAAGGAGTCACTGCGCCTTTCGCATGGGGTTGTGAGCCCGGCTCCTCGCGTTGTCCCCTTCAACACCATGATAGCAGGAGTTTTCGTTCCGGCCGGGGTGCGTTTCCTTTTTTTTGTTGGCTATTACTCACATTCAATAGACCGTTGTCGCGATGGGTGCGACATTTATGCACTATAACCCCAAAGTCTTTACCAACCCCAAGAGATTCGACCCCGATAGGTGGTTACAGCCGAACATCACAGAGCTGGAAGAGAACTTTGTGCCGTTCTCGAAAGGTCCCCGGAGCTGCCTTGGTATCAAGTGCGTGGAATATTTGGGGAAAGTATGATATTCTGCTCATGATGATTTACTTAGCCTCGCGTGGGCCGAGTTGTATCTAATGTTCTCGAACATCTTCAGGAAAACCGATATGGAGCTCTTCAACACGACGTATGATATTTCCCATTAACTCTCAGCCCGTTTCTCTCTCTGATGGAATAACAGGGAGGACGGCATTAAATTTGGCGCTTACCTGACTCCACGGTATCGTGGAAAGCAAAGGGTTTATGCCAAGTTGTTGGACGATTGAAAGCGAGCACGTAGCTCCTAGCTTTCACCCGATGCAATGCCAGTCAGTATGTAGTCCTTAGGTTCCACTCCGTACACGTCATAAAATCGTAATATTCCGTAAGTACGTTGTATACTGTATTCTACAAATGAGGTCATGAAGTTGGGGTAATATGCGTAAGGTAAGCTTGTCCAAGGAAGGAATAATGCAATCGGGTTCATCGCAAATGAACCGCGGATAATGTCAAAGAGGGATAACGAAGGTGTGTGAACGAAGATGAATAAAAAATGGTGATGAAAACGAAGATGAAGGCCATCCAGCAGAGATTGAACAACTACCACTCCCCAACCCACTCTCCTCCACTAGCAAGGGAGGAAAAGACGCCCTTGCGCTGCATGAGCTCATCATATGTCCCTTGCTCCCTCACCTCCCCACCATCAACAACCACGATCCGGTCGCACATCATCATCACCTCAAGCTTATGCGTGATCATCACCGTAGTCCGACCCAGCTTGGCCGCCCGAATCGTATCAAGAACCTTGGCCTGGTTCTCTCCATCCAAGGATGACGTACATTCATCCAGGATCAGGATCCGAGAGGGCCTAGCGAGGGCACGAGCGATCTGAAGCCTCTGCGCTTGGCCACCCGAGATGAGGGAAGCGTTCTCGCCAACGGGGGTATGATATCCCTGGGGCAAGGACAATATGAAGTCATGGACCTGCGCGGCCTTTGCAGCACGGCGGATGTCGTAGTCTGAAATTGCTTGATTTCCGTAGCGGATGTTCTCTGCGATGGTAGCGTCGAAGAGATTAGGGTGTTGAGATACCACAGAGACGTGATCACGGAGGTGGTTGACCTCGATATCGCAGAGTCTGTTCAAGCCGATGGTGATGGCGCCATTGGTGGGTTCGTACAGACGTTGAAGGAGGGCGGCGAGCGTGGACTTGCCGGAACCGGAGGGACCAACGATTGCGATGCACTCGCCGTCGTCGATGGAGAGGTTGACATTCCTGAGAACGGGAACCTCTGGTCGCCCGGGATAGAAGAAATGGACGTTGTTGAAATTGATTCCGCCTGCGAGTTCTGGGCGGACGACGCCCTTGGATTCGTCAGTGGACGTGATGTTAAGCTGGAGAAGTCGGTTGAAGTCGTTAGCAGCTTGTCCAGACCTTGCGATCTTCTCAGCTGAAAGGAAGGGACGTCAGCACAGAACAACGCTCGACAGAATGAAACTTACTGAAGGCCATGAGTTGGGAGCCAATCGTCACAGAGAATACAACAAGGTTGAGAACTTCAACCATTTGGAGGTAGGTGTAAGTCCCACGGGCGATGAGGACGGCGCCGACGTAGAACAAGAGGGCTTCAGCCAGGTAGATGAGTGCGCTGGCGAGCCCATGGGTACACCCTTCGACAAAGGCACCGCGAACGCCAGTGGTGAGCGCTTTGTCGGTCGCCAAGTCGAAGTGGGAGCGAAAGATGCCTTCGAAGGCCATGCAACGAATGCCACGAATGTTCGAAAGCGTCTTTATTGCCAATGAGCACCAAACCAATAAAAAAGGAAAGAACAGATGCTCACCTCGTAATAACCCTTCGCAACCTCTTCCCTAGCCCTCTTATTGCGCAGCTCACACTTTGCAACAAGGCGCGACTGAACAGCCATACAAGCCGCAAACACTGGCGCCAAACCCACACCAACCAGCGTCACCTGCCACCCAGTAATAAACGCCCACACGAGCCCAACACAAAGCATCGAAAAGACAACGCAGCCTTGGCCCCAAACCACAGCTACCAGATCCCGTGCATCCTCCCCGTCCTTCACCAACACCTGCACCATCCTACTCGCTGCATTCTCCGGGCGGTCAAACCATTTCTTGTCTTGCACCATGACGTTGTACAAAGCCGTAGACCGGATACGCGTGACCCACGACATACCACAAATCTCCATGATGAAGTACTTGGTACCCAGGAGGATACCGTCGATAGCTGCGATACCAACGAGGATTCCGCCGAATTTGTTGATCGTTGATACGTCGTGTGCACCAACGGATACTTCGAAGAGGAGGCGGGAGAGGAGGAAGGAGAAGATGGGGGTCATGGCGCCGGAGAGGCAGCACGTTACGAGGCCGATGAAGATGAGGGTTTTGCGAGGGACGGTGGGGTATATACTGCGCATGATACTCCATATCGAGGGAGACTGCTCATCAGAGTCAACGATGAGCTCCTTGTCGCGCTTCTGGACCTTGACATTTGTGAGCGGTGCGAACTTGTCCGCGTCCCAACGTGCACGAACGACTTCCCGGCCGTTACGAGAGCTGGCTCCGCGTCCCAAGCGAGCGGAAACACCGCTCTTTTCAATGGCCTGTTTCTCCTTCTCGAATACCTCTTCAGCGTCCTCGTCGAATGCTGTCCTCGAAGTTGGCGAGGTGGGTGAATATTGCAAGCTAAACCGCCTGCTCGTGAGGGTGTGTGCAACTTGGGGTGAGGTAGGTGAAGGGACATCGATGCTGGAAGGCCTTCGTCGACGATCAAGGATGGGAGTGAAGTTGTCGGGTGGAGAAAACTGAGTGGACCTCGAATGAGGGAGAGCAGGCACGGAAGGAGCGACTAATTCGGCTACGGCTTCGAACATCCAAGCACCGAACGTGAGGGGGCGAACGGCCATGCTTTGATGCTTCAGATGGTCCGGGACACGTCCAACCCACTCCTTCTCGCTTTCCTCGTCCAAGGCATCCTGGATGTCGTCCATCCCACGCTCACTCTCCCAATCCTTCTCTGGGAGAAACCCACCCGTCTCCCGCTGCGACTCCATCATCTTCCTAAACTCGCCCACGCCCCCTTTTTTGCGCTCAACAACTTCCAAGTCATATCGGTATCCCTGCTCGACCACCTGTCCCGCCTTGAGGACATAGATGAAGTCGTTGGGGGTGATTTGGGATAAATCGTGTGTGATGACGACGGTGGTCTTGTTCTTACGCCACCGCTTGATGGCTTCGAATACGAGAGTCCGCGAAGTAGCGTCCAGCGCGGAAGTCGCCTCGTCTAAAAGGGATTGATTTAGTAAGAAAGAAAAAGTTGACAGAAAAATAAAAGGTATACCAAGTATCAAAACTGAGGGGTTCCTTAGCCGAGCTCTGGCAATAGCCAGCCTCTGCTTCTGCCCACCACTAAGCCCAACACCACCAGCACCCCCACCAAGCAGGGTATCATACCCATTCGGCAAATCACGTACAAACTCGTGTATCAGCGCCGCACGACACGCATCTTCCACCTCTTCCTTCGCCACAGCGTGGACCCGTCGACCAAAGACACCAGCAGCTACATTTTCGAACACGCTCTTCCCATCTAGGATCACCACTCCGCTCTGGCTCACGCCTGCAACGTGGGCTTTCATCCACGCGTCGTCGAGGAATCGGACGTCTTGCTCGTCGATGGTGATGTGTCCGATTTGGGGGTTGTACATCCTCAAAAGAAGCTGAGCGACGGTAGATTTGCCGGACCCGGACGAGCCGACGATGAAGGTGATTTCGTTCGCGGGGAGGAAGATGGAGACGTTGGAGAGGACGGGGATGGAGGGACGTGATGGGTATGCAAATGTGACGTTGTGGAGTGCCAGTTCGCCGGAACATCTTGGTGGTGTGATCTTCTTGAGGACGCGGAGGTTTCTGGACTGCGGTGTGGATGTGGCGAGGGAGATGAGGGAGACCATGGAAAATTTCCCTTTGGCGAGGATGATGAACTGGGGAATGCACATTTGCATGTTACTCGTTGCAATAAGACACGCCCAGAAGACGGCCATCACGTCCCCAGCGGAGATTTTGTTCTCTCTGACGAGCTTGGAGCCGAACCAGAAGCCTTGAACGAACATCCCCATCATGACGAACTGTCCCAACGCGGAGGTAACGCCCCATACTGCGCTAAGCTTCCCCGCAGCTCTGTCTAGCCGATGAAAAGCGGCATCTGCGCGAGAATGCTCGTGGGGTGCTGCGTTGAATGCCTTGACGGTGGAGATGGCGGAGACGGCGCGGTCGATGATGGTAGCGACAATCGCGGATTGTTGGCGCTCGGATGCGAGGAGGGGGGAAGCGAGGCCTTGGGAGATGCCTTGGATGAGCATGAGGATGGGGACGGTGGAAAGAATGACGAGGGTGAGTGCCCATGAGCGGGTGAAGGCGAGGACGAGGCAGGTGAGGCAGGTTGTTAGATATTGAATGAGCATTCCTGAGGCGAGCGAAGTCGCCATTCGGACGTCGTCAGTTTCTCTGAATAAAATAATGTTAGCTGGCACAAAAAGTGGGAAAGGGGAGACGGACCTTGTGAATTTGGCCATGAGACCACCAGCACCGATAGGGCCATCGTTCTCATCGGTGCGGGTGAGTTTGTTTCCATCCGCCATGCCCATATGGGTATCAAACCAACTCATGTCCTTCGCAGTAACGGATAGATAAACTGCCTTGCGGAGTGCCATGACATTCATCTCCCCACTCCATATCCACAAAGACGATGTGACGCTGCTAAGGGCGAGCGAACCAACGGCAAGCCCGACAAGTTCAAGTGCTGCAAAGCCAACACCACGTAACAGGTCGTCCTTGGCTTGAGTTGGTGGATTCGGAGTAAGAGGGAATCGCGCAAACGCGTCAAAGGCTTGTCCGATGACAAACGTCATGAATGGAGCGATTCCACCCGCGACGATAGACGAGAGAATGGCAGGGAGGAGGAGGCAGATGATGTGTCGCCTGGATAAGAGGGAAAAAAGAAGTCGAATGGATGGTGTGGGGGATGCGACGTTAATGGATGGTGTTGGTACAGTATCGTGAGTTTTGAGATTGGAATTGGGAGAGTCTATTGAAGAGCGTGGAGTTACGGAGAGTTCATGGGCGAGTTTGCCTGTAGCGACGTTGGTATTGACCGCGAGAGTTGTGTTGCGACGCATCGTTCGTCAAAAAGAGAAGAGGAAAGAGAAAAAAGTGGGGAATAGAAACGAAGAGAAGGTGGGTTACTGCGTTCCCGCCATCTTTGGTTTTGTTGCCGCTTCAGGTTGATTCAACTTGGAAGACAATGGCGGGACAATGGCCATCATTGACTCCGTTTTCCCTTTTTTGGACAACCCTGAACGTCGTGCTTGGCTTCGAAGGCTGCAATCCGATCTCGGCAGTTGCTGCGATAAAGGAGGACAATGACAGACCTTATATTGTGTGTGAACGACGTACAAAGGGTATCTCATGGGCACGCACCAATATTACATCCAATATCATATCAGGGAGTCAAAATCAAGCTTTGTTTGGCTAGCACGAGGCTGTTTGGCTTCCACGCGTAGTGGCCAAACAAAGGCCGCCAGGCACACTCTTTACCACTCAAGAAAAACACCCTTTGTGCTTTGACAAAGGCCAAACGGAAAACAACCGCTTGATGATCCGCAGATAATTCGGCGAGCAACGCCTACAAAGAGCGCCAAAACAAGACCGTAAGGCCCTGCGCCCTAGATAGTAGAATCAGTGTCAATATACTTCCGCCCAGGGATCGATGCGAAAACAGATGATTGGTGACTCGGTTGATAACCGTCAATTATATCGTTGCATCACCTGCATCCTGAATCAAAATATGCAATTCGACCAAGGGTGCATACCTTTTGTTCACGCTAATATGCAAAAATCAGCAAAGCATCACCAATCCCGGAGGGAAATCCAACTTCTCCTTCGTGTTGGAAATGCGTTCTGAAACACAACGAATGGTCAGAAATAGCGCATGTACCCACCAAAAATACATAGACGAACACCAAGCTTTGCAACCGGCACCAAAATCGAATTGGTCCAATCCATGTTCCTCCAGATTACCGAAACAAAGGTTAAAATATGGGGCGACAGATGTTAGGATGCCGGCGTACCATTGGCGAAGGCTGGCGAGAGAAATTTGGAGGCCTCATCGTCGTCATGAATAAAAGTAGTGAGATCTTATCTGATCTTATCAGCCATTTTTCTATTTATAACCAAATGACATCATGTGCCCCTGATGATCGATGAGCGTCCTCCCGAGTCCCAGTTCCCTCCTGGGCCTTTGTCGCGATTTCTGTTGGATGCATCTGTTGAAGCTTTCGGAAAACGCAAAATACCTTTGATGGAACGAATTTTTAGCGCTAGAATGGTGAGTAACCAATTGGTTGTCTTCGTACCATGTTCAAAGAATCCAGATAACTCAGAAGACTCTCTTCATCTCAGATTAGAATATCCTCCGCGCACTTCTTGTGCTCTTGCCGTTGACGAAGCATAAAGGTAGAAAAGGGCGCCCGTCGTCGTACAATTTTACTTCTACGCCCGACGGCCCCCCTTCTCTTCGTGGGACAACGGAAGGTAGATAAGAAATTTAGTGCAAACGAAGCGAGGTTCAACTACACCGTGGAGAAGCCGGAAAATCAGTCCAGATGCAAGTCCAAAAATCATTTCTCAGAAGTTCAGCGTTGATATTGAACCAAGGGTCAAAATACTTTATAGCTTAAGTTACTCCAGCCAATGTCGAGACGGAAGTTAATCGACTTGGGGCCTTTGATCTTCGTCGGAGGAGCCCGTTGGATACCGACCCTCGAAGTCTCTCTGTTGGTGGGTTTAATTTATAGGTCATTAGGGTTCTTTGGTCAACGGCAGCAAAAACTGTGGGCCGAGAGCCCACTCGGATCGAACTCGAATGCTGTCAGGCGACAGAGCCGTTTGAAAATTTAATCCATTCATCATGATTTTGATCATGGATCCGGCAGGTTATGGTTGGAGAGAGGGAAAATTGAGAAGCAAGCGCGCGCGCCAGCGCATCGACGACTTTAATTAAATATGAGCGTCGCAATGGCCACCGCAAAAACCAACTGCAAACGGCGAGACATCCGAGAACTTTCTTTCCCCAGAGATCGACCCTCATGCCTGATGTTGGGGTGGAGGGAGATTTACAAAGCCATATTATCTCCGTGTGTGGATCAACTTCTTTCGTTAACTGGACTTCTCCGAAGTAAATCCATAAAAATCAGCCGAGCTTCAAAGAATTCTCCTCGATGACTTGAAAGACTTGCCAAACGGGCCATGTGACTGAAACTAGAGATCTTCCGTTAAATCACCTACGAAATACCCGAGGTACTTACGATGAACTTGCCGCAAAATTTGTTCAACTGCTCAGTACTCCAATTTCCTAGTGATCCAAAAAAGCAAAATAACTGTCCTAGAAGAGTCAATATGCTTTCTAAAACGGCATGATATATGGAGAATAAATTCCGTTTGCTTCCGCCAGCGGCCATCGCAAGGGTTTTCTAGATGTGTTTGTGCGTACGCCCATATATAGACCATCGTTGTCTAAATAAATAAGTAAGCGGTTCCTAAGGCAATTAAAGTCTCCTCCCCTCTCCTCCCCGGCATCCTATAAGAAGCCTGCTTCGAATAGTGGGTGACCTTTTCTGCGAAGCATTACGCATGCGTATCTTTATCTATTCACGCAATGGGCCCGACTCCCGAGGTCTGGTTCATCCTTCACTGGCAGGTATGTTAGCAGTGAAGTGCCATCGGACTCGACAGCACTTTGTTGGACACTGGTTATTAGGTACTAATTTTATTCTATAGGATATTAATTTGGAAATGCGAGCATTGTACTTTTGCGACAACATAGAGCTCACTCAGTCAACGATCGACGAGAACCTGGAAATTCTACCGAGTTGAAGGGCGGGAATAATGGCATCAAACCCCATATAGTTGCCGAATTGACCCTGTGATGACGATTTTGTCGGTCCTCTATATAACGGTGGTTCTGTCTGCTGCAGCCCGTTCTGTCCTTGGCAACTTGAAGCGCATTCATCCCCTCTACAAATGAGCTTGGCCGTGACGTTCAACGAATCCCTTTCTCTCTCCAGAAGTCGGTCATCGTCGTCTTCGAGTCATAATGTTGTACACTCTCAGACTCCCATCCCCACAACAACCAACTCGACCGATACGTCCAGTGCGAGTAGCAGTAGCAATGGTGCGTGACTCTCAAATAACTCTCAAGGAATACGCTAAATGATCACGCAGTCCCGAGCTCAAGCTACATAACGGTCACCGTTACTGATCATGACACGCCTCTGATTTCATCTACTTATGTCCCCAACCCCCCATCGTCCAATGGCACAGACACAGGGGTAATAGTAAGCGCAGTGCTTACCGTGGTGATGGTTGGAGGGCTCCTTCTCGTTGCATTTATCTTCGTCAGAAGAGCGCGCAAGAAAGCGATGTCTCAAAAGGAAGATCTTCAAATGGCATACCCTGCAAAGCCAGGTAAGAGTGTAGCAAAACAGCGACCGTTCAGATTTAAAGTCGTCGTTCGCAGTGTGGGAACCACAAACATGGAGGAGAGAGGTATACGCCACGATGTCGGATAAAAGCACTGTTAGCAGAAGTCCCTCATATGCATCTACTGGGTTGGGTCACTATAAAAAATCACGGATACAAACTCAACCGGTGAGGGAGAGGACGGACGTTTTTTCATAGTTGGATTCATAATCTTTTTGAACCTTGCCATTGCTGTCCCTTTGTACATCATGTGTATTCGCTGGGACGACTCACTCTAAAAAGTTACGGATACAAATTCAACCCGAAAAAAGAGAGGACGGATTTTTATTTCATATGTGAATTGGTAATTGATTTTCGTTTTTTCCCCCGCCAGCGCTTTGCATCAACTTTGCATACTACTTTGATTTATTCTAAATCAACATACTTTCTTCTTCTTTTGAATTACGCTGGTGCGTGAAGATCTCCAGAAGATGGCAGGATCAACGCTTTTTTTTTGCAGTAACAGAAGAGGGTTTCGCGTTCGTTCTGCTGGGTAACAAGAAAAGTAAAAACAAAGAAATGAAATGAGACCCCGAAAGCATCAGTGAGTGTATTCTTAACAATAGGTACGATATCTATGAGAAAGGAATCGTGGCTTGTGCAAAGAATGAATGCGATCAAGGAGTCGAACAAATAGAGCGCACGCGTAAATAAGCAAGTCACGAGGTGGAGGCCGTGCCCTTCAAGTTGAAGTTCAAGAGTTCGGTTTGGTCAGAAGGTGAAATCAATGCAATAGACACATTTTGAGCAAAAGGCTCCACCACTATCTTGCGAGCATCACGTTCGGGGTGACGCTATTCCCTGTAATTATATTTCCTTCTACACAGCATCGGTTCATGGCAACGATTTTGTGCTCCTAAATGATATTCCACAGTCGATAAACTCTGTTACGCGCATGTTGCCAAACGAATCATCATCCAGAATCCTAGCACCCTATCCCCCCTTCCGAGAAAGCCCTACGTGGACTAATCGAATAGCGTTCCCTACCCCTCCATGTTCCCAACTCGGACCGTTGCCTTGGTCTCCCCCTCTCGCTCTCTGCTCGCCTAAACTCCTCTACGACGGCCTGATGTCGATTCTGATCCTCCTCCTCCTCCTCTGAACTCCCCTCTTCGTCGAAACTCGTCTGACTCTCCTCTGAGCTGAAATTTCGTTCCATTTCTTCGTCAATCCCGTAGGGTCTGTGCTTCATCTGGTATTCGATGTGTAGTTTCCACCACTCTTCGTCGTGGTCCGTATTCTCGTCGGCTTCATCCTCGTTGTCATCCTCGTTCACAACAGAGCAGAGGTCCTCCACGTCAATGGTGGATGGTATGGAGACTTCTGAACTATTACGGCGCTTGCAATATCGTTTTTCGCAACTCTCGTGTTTGGCTTTTCCTGTGGTAGACGGTCCTGTAGAGCCTTGTAGGTGGTTGTCATGCTAGAGAGCAAAGCGTGAACATACCGAAGCAGGACCCCATGTAAGCCAGTGATTTGCCCACGCGGTCGCACAATCCTACGGCCAGTCGTTTGGCTTTACATTTTTCGCGCTCGTTCCTTGGTTCGTCGACTCTTAGAGTTGAAGCATACAAACGCTGCTTTTCGTCTGCTTGGGATGACCATTTTGATATGTCCGAACTGGTATCAACGGGTGATGCGTTTTCTTCGCGCCGTATTCCTCGTCCCGAATTAGCGGGGATGGAAACTATGCAGGGAATGTGAGCAACGTGGGTCTTGTGCGTGATGATAGAATATACATTGATTCCCAATGACATCCACAGCGACCGGAAAGGCGCCGGGTACTATGGGGTCGAAATGGTAACACGGCCCATTTTGCATGACAGAGTGGGTGGAAAGAGCGACGAGATTCCGTTAAAGCGTAAGTACCTCAGTGGTGGAAAGATATGTTTCACTTTTGATCGTTATGTCATAATTAAACTCAACATCGGATGCGAATTCGAAAGCGCAGTTGTCGCGTGGTAAGTGAATGATCGTTGTGAACAATATTGAACCATACTTTAGTAGATCGGAGGCCAGGAAAATTCCGCCGGCTCCAGTGAGAGGAATTGTTGAGGGTGGGGAGAAGATTACGTGCGGGAAGAAGAGAGTGCTAATTCGTGCTGCCCCTCCATAATTCACGGCCCACTTACCAAAATCTGAATACAGGAGCAGCTCATTGTGGTTGTGGAAGTGAAAGAAGCGTGTGAAACAAGTTCAAAATGTTTACTTACGTAAGGCCCAAAAGAAATCTTCAACTCATTCTCGTCCCTTTCTCGTCCCTCGCAATTTTAAAATTCAAAATTCAATATTCAAATATTCAATCCCCAACGTATCAAGGCTCGTTTACGCGCATGTGGAAACTAAGAGCTCTTTCCGGGCTTTGGTGCAAGTTTCATGTGGCAATTCACGTGCATTGACAACGTCTCGCATCCAATCCGACCATTATCGTTGTGCGTATCTACTTCTTCCGTCAGGAAACTAACCTCCAAAAAGCGCGTCCATGCAATCTAATGTTACGTACGCGGCGCCAATGCGCATCAGTCGCGCCTACCACCCGAGTTCCTTTTGATCATCTTCAAGATATCTACGTCGATACCACGACCTGGCCACAGGCATTTTTCCAGGGACTGTCGACGTGCAAGTGTGACGACAGCAAACCCTACCTGACACATCGGAACGATAACGACGACTTGAAGTCACCATCCCTTTTCCCCGATGCGATTTCGGTCATTTGTAAGGAGTGGCTCAGCTTGATGCTCGCCGTTTTAGACTTTTGGACGCGTCTTGTTGTATATGTGGATGAAAGGCCGAGGGCTATAGGTGAGCTACACTCCCACCTTTGTGCATCCCGCGAGCTTTCTTTCCGCGCCCAGGTTCTGAAACGCCAGGACACGATTGGTGAGTCGAGGAGGGCGATCGAATGGTCGACACGTTGTCCCCACATCTTCATCGATGCGAGCGGTTGATGGTTGACGTCATTCCCAATTCTTCCATTCGCAACACCTGATGAAGAGAGGCAGGATCCATTCTCTTTCCTCAACTTTAGCGCCATCACCCTAACCGGCTCAGCCTTTGCAGGCACGAACGAAAATCCAAACTGGGGTTTAAGAAGGACTTGCAATTATCTTCCAGCTCTCATTTGCCTTCCCTTTTCTACTCCAACTTGCTACTCAGCGGCCTCTCAACAAATTCGTCGGGATCTCCAAGTCAAATACGTTCAACGACGCTATGATGTCCTAGAGCTTCTACCGGACGATTGGGAATTTCTGGGAACATCTTGCTTGAGGGTCTAAACAGCACGCCGTTGCAGATAATCGACAACGTCCTCGTCGCGTCGGAGTATAGTACGAGACCCAAACGATTAGAGCGTGCGATATCACGATTTATCTCATTTCGGAGGATATCCATGCGACCGACGACCTGATATCCGTCAACCATACACTCTCCAACCGCTTTGTGACCTTTATCTCTTGCCCGGTGCTTTTTCCAGTGACCCACTTGTGGAGCGTTGAGACGTTGAGGAGTCTTGGTATTGTGAACTGTCCTGGGATTTCGGATCGGGCGCTGCGCGTGGATATGGGACAGATCATCAATATGACGATTTCGACGATATTCCAATGCTTTATATTGCTGACTGTGCGTTTGATTGGTCGGACGAGGATTTAAGGAGAGGGTGAAATCTTTTTCCTTCCGGTATTAGGATCTATCTTAGGTGGTATGCTCCGGAACTGCAACCCGTTGTCCAGCCATCTAACCCATTTTTTATTCCCAGATTCTGGCTGCAGAAGCTAATGGATTTTAAGTTACTCGAGTTCACAATCTTCCCAGTTGAGCGTATAAAAGTTGCGTGCTCCATCCTTTTGAATTGCATGCGCGTCTTTTTATGGCTCTATTTCCTCCGGACTCGGTGCTCTATCGCTCCCTCAGACCGTAGCCTATCGTTTGGTTACGACTTTTCGTTGTCATCGGAAAATAGTAAATGACCTGGGAGTCTTCTTTTAAGCTACCTCAACGACGTCATTAGGTAACTACACGAAGTACCGCCGTCCTTGCGAGCGATTATCGGGTTTGGCGTCGTTTGACTAATTAAGTCTCCTGTCGTTGTGCTCTGAGAAATGCCTCCGCTCGGAGCTCGCGTCTTTGTCGGAATCATGGCTGTGAGAGATGATGCATTTAAATTTGGTACATGGTTGACGTTCTCGGGGAAGACGTGTCAAATTTAATATAGAAATCCCTTCTTCTACTGTATCTCTGCATTAACGATTTCCCTCTCATTCAGAACTTTGCTTATCTCGGACCCTGAGTGTCGCGCAACGCAAGATAAATCATCCTCTTATCATCAAGCGGGTTGCCATGCCACCGATGCAGTAACAGTAAGGAAAGACAAACAAAGGAAAACATAACTATTCTTGGCTCCACTCGTCATCCGCCCCGGCTCAAGTTCGCCACACTCACATTCGTTTTTATCTTTCCTTCTTTCTGACACGTTAGTTTTTTTTTACGTTGTGATTGACATTGGTGAGTTGTTATGCGAGCAGCCATTCGGATTGATATTGATATATATACAGTACACTATTCGCATTCTGAATCTAGACGTACGTACAAAGAATCGAAGAGGGTGTAACTCGTTCTTCAGACTAGACGATGTCTTCAATTTTCACCTCCCCTCCTCGTATCCCTCCACCACCTATCCCAGGGAAATCACCCGCCCGCAACGCGCTGCCAACCGCCTCACGTAACCCGACCACCGCATTAACGCCCACCCCACCCAAACGCAAACCATCTCTAGCATCTCCATCTCCACCTACGCCGCTTATACCATCTTTTAACGCCGCTACTTCTCGGCAGCCGACGACCCCGGTCCCGCCGCAGAGTCAAAGTCAGATTCAGAACCAAAGTCAATACGTAACGATCTTCCAACGCCCAACGTGTGCCACGTCCTCCCCTGACTCGCCAACATCCCGCGCGATGATGAAGAGATTGTTGGCCAAGCCTGCTGCGCCTGCATTGTATAGCGGGAGTGAGAGTGAGGGAAGGAGTGTGGGTGTGATGAAGAGGGCTGCTACCGTTGATGGGAAGGGGAGTGTGAAGAGGAGTGAGGATAGGGCTGAACGGAGGGTGAATGAGGAGAAACGGCGTGCAGCCACTATGACGAGCGAGCAGAGGATTCGGATGACTGGGAACGGGAGTGATAACGACGGAAGGGGAACTAGCGGACGACGTATTCAAGAAATGCCGCTAAACGAAAGAAGGACTTTTGGAAAACCAGAGGAGAAACAACGTAAACTCCTACGTCGAAAACCATCGTCATCACGTGTTACCTCTCCAAGCAGCTCACCCAGTCGTGCTGTTGGAAGTTCCAATACGAATACGACGATCAAGAGAAGCGCATCAGCAGCAGCTTTGACGGTTTCTTCTACGCATTCACGTGCGCCCTCTCCCAAACCACCGTCAATTACGCCTGCTAGTGCACTTGTACAAGCGTATCGTGCACAGGAACAGAGCGAACGTGGCCATGTCGCCGATCCTTCATCCCCTTCTACCCCCTATGCCTTTTCCTCTTCAGATCCTAAACACCTCCACGACGACGATCCCGCTACGCCATACTACACCGTCTTTGGCTCCTCCTCTGACCGCGTCGTACCAGCCGACAGCTTTGAAGCTCGCGCGGCTGGGTGGAGTTCGGAGGGATATTTTCAATTGGAGGGCGTTAAGCGCTCTGCGACTGTTAAATCTACTTCTTCTGCTGGTGGGGGGCTGAAGACGCTTACGAGGAAGGTTTCTGGGCGCTGGAAGAAGGCGCAGCAGTACGCGGGGGAGGAAGAGAAGGAGAGGGGGAGGATAAGGCCGCGCCCGAGTTTACAGAATCCTGGTTTGAGGAAAAGTGAGACGAGGACGAGGACGAGGAGTTTGGAGGTTGAGGAGATCGTGTTGGATGGAGTGGTTAAGCACCCACCCCCAGTGAAGAAAGTGAACGACGAAGAGAGGGGAAGAAGACATGCTCGACGGCCTAGTTCTGCCGAGAACCCACCCCCAGTGCCAAGCGAAGGGGGAGGATCAGGGAACAAGCTATGGAGGCTTATGAAACGCATTAGTACAGGTGGTCTGCGTGATAAGTATCGTGCGGAGCAGCAGGAGCCTCCTCCCTTACCCCTGCCCCTTCCAGGATCAGCGTTCACTTCGCCTTCACCGCTGGTTTTGGAGGCGGGGAAAAAACGGGCATTGGCGAGGTGGTTACCCTCCGCATCGTCCTCTCGGTCCAGCTCGGTTGGTGGGGACTCTACGAGGTCAAGGGTTCCCACTGCTTCTGCTTTGAAGACTTCTGGATCGCCTTCACATCAACAACAAGCACAAGCACAAGCACAAGGATCGGGAACCACGCGCTCCTCGTCCCCCGTTTCGTCGAGCGACAAAAGCGTGCAATACCCCCATTCGAGCACTTCTTCGTTTGGGGTTGTGGATGTGCAACCTGAACAACCCGTTCCCCCCGTTCCGTCGCTTGTGAACACTTTACGGAAAAACTCGCGGAAGCAGCAGCAGCAACAAAGCGTCAATGGGGTGGGGAAGTATATTGTTCATCCAAGTCAGCTATATAAAGACATCCCTCCTACGCCTCCTCCGTCTGCTAAGGGACAGTCAAATCACTTGTCGTTCCGCCAACTCGCCAGGCCAAGGACGGCAGATTCGGAAGATTGGATGATTGTGCAGAGTCCTAGTGTCGAGTTGCCTTCGTTGCCCTTTCCACCGCGACGTGGGACGACGACGTTGGTTGTTTCTTCTCCGAATAAAGTGGTTTCTTCAGCTCCTGCTCAACGCGACTCATCTGCCCCTGCCCTTGCTCGAGACGATACGGAGAGGACAAGTGGGAATGGAGGTGGCGGGAGAGAGTCCCCGCTCTTACCTGAATTTTCGATATCAGGGGCGATTAATACGTTTAGGCCTAGGAAGAGTGGGGATAGGGTTGCTTTGAAGCCGCCTCCGCTCTTCGTTCCTCAAGCAGGTTCGTCTACGTCGCCTGGACGTTCGCCAAGTTCACCCATGCGCTCAGCGAGTTCGCCTACACCGCGCTCGCCTACGTCACCTAAATCCCCATCTCATCATACGCGGAAATCGGAATCCCATAGTAATGCCCAGAGGAGGTCCGAGGGCGGGTTGAGTATACTTACTATTCGACCTGGGAGGAGGAGGTCTAGTTCGTATGATCTTTCGACGACGGAGCCTTTCAAGTCGGAGGGTAGTAAGGCGGATCGTATGGGCTCGTTGAACCCCTCACCTGCTACCGCTACCACGTCTCCTATTTCATCCAAGAAGTCCCCCGCCTCCAAGACCAAATCCCCGACGACTCGCGCTTCTACCACCAGCCGCCCTCCATCCTTGTACACTCCATCCCGACATCACACACTCACGGAACAAGAAAAAGCGCAGAGGTGGGACGATCTGCTGGAGAAGAGTGCGAGAGCTGGAGGGACGCTGCATTTAGCGGGAGATTGGGATGTGAGGCTTCAGAGTGATTTGTTGAGGTATTCGAGTACGCCTTCGGAGGTGGAGATGGCTGGTGTTGGGGTGTTGGGATGATGATGAGAGAAGAGGGGAGGGTGTATATACGGTATCAAGCTAGAAACTAATTTATTCTCTTAATACGCCAATCCTTCATGAATGAATGGGAATCCACGAATGAACATTATGCGAATCCTGCCCTATGTACCAAATTATGCCCAACCATAAGCTAGATAACTACTCCCAAACCAGCTTACCCCGCTCATCAACAACAGCCTTCATCCCACCACTCTCCTTCTTCCCCCCTCCTCCTGCCCCTCCCTGCCGCTCCCTCTCCTTGTCATTTTTGTATCGCGCCAATAACGCAACTCTCTCAGACTCCGCTTGTGCCTTTGCGGCCTTTTCGCGTTCGCGTTTCGTGGCGTTTTGGCGCTGTTTCTTGGATTGTTGGTCTGCTGTTTTGTTGGTGGTGGTAGCAGGAGGAGTGGGGAGGTGGGAGGATGAGGAGGGGGTGGACGAGGAGAGCGGTGTTTTGGTTGGTCCTATTTGAGTGGGTGGTTGATTAGTGAATGGTGAACAAGCAACATGGGCGGGAAAGAACGACTGATAATAGGAAAAGGGTGGTACGCGTGAAATGCAGTCAATGAATCCAATATCGAGTGCGAAAGGACGTCAATCGAACGTAAACACGGAGAAATGAAGATGACGGAGAAGCGAAGAGGGGGAAAGTAGCCTGGGCAAACGAAGGGTGGGGTACAGGTAGAGAGGAAGACTGCAGGCCCAGAGGAGAAAGAGGAAGAAGGCATTGAAGGGCAATACGGAAAACAGGTGCCCGTAAAGAAACGAAGTGCAAAGGAAACAATGCATCCCGGCAAAAGTGGACTGGGGTAAAAGTGAACGCGCGGAGGTGCAAAAATGAAAGAAAGAAAGGAAGATGGGCAGGAAAATACGTCGCCGAAAAAAGGGTAAGAATGACGATAAAATGAAAAGGAACGTGAGTGATAGGGTGATCCATACAATGGAAATGAAAAGAGAAGCAACGTCGAAAGGAAGGAAGAAGAGGAGACGGAAGGAGCGCGTGGGCAGAGCCTCAGTAAATGAATGAAGTGGGGGGGGAAAACAGCTTGGGCCAATGAAGTGCCCTGATGAATGTTGCAAAAGGAGAATGGAGGCAAAAAGGAGAGAGCATAAGAAAACGATACCCAGAGAACGTTGAATCGTAAAAACGGCTCAGAAGGCGAGCAAGCCGCAAGAAGAAAAAAGAAAGACGAAAAGGTTGGAGGATAGATGAAAAAACATCGCGGCGAGGACGGTGAATGAAGATGAAAGGTGGGCAACCAATCCAGGCAAACGGACGAGCGGGGCAGGGAGTACACGTGAAGCGGAAACGGTGCCAAGGACACAGACAACGAACACGAGAGCGATTAAGGAAAGAAAAAACGATCCGTTGAATGGGAAATGAAAGAAAGCCGAAGGGAAAGTCCAAAAGAAGGGAACGCTACTCACTTTTACTCTTGACAACGCCCCAACCTTCATCATCCGCATCCGCCTCACGTACGTCTTCATAATCGCCCCACGAGAAACCATCGACAGGTTTCTCATCCGGCCTAGGCTGTACACGCATCACCCTCGACAACGTCGGGTGATCTGGTGTTTCGAGCATACTATGAACAAGCAGATTAGAAAACTTAAAAAGAGGGGAAGAGAAGACAACTTACTCATCAACGGCCGTCTTCCTAGGCTTGGGTAACAACTTTTCTGCAAGCGTCCTTCGGCGGGACTCTTCATCTCTTGTGTTGGAGTTTAAAAGGAAGGAGGAATGTGCGCCATCTTCGTCGTTGTCTTCTTCTTCTTCCTCCTCCTCCATGCGCTCCGCGACGGGTGACGAAGAAGCGGTGGTGGTAGCTACGTCACTCGTCGTCGTCGTCGTTTGTGCAGCAGCCAAGTAGCTCCGCTGTCGAGGCTCCACGCGGGTCCACGAGCCGTCGGTATCAATGGAGGTGGTGGACTGTTTGGTTGTTCGTGGGGTGCGTGTGGTGGGGACGGCGGAGGTGGATGATTCAGAGTTGTACGCTTCTACGGTGGGAGAACTGACGGTGGTGGGACCCGGAGGAGTACCGGCGTTGGTAGTGGTGGCAGAAGAGGCGGCGGCGGCTTTGGTTTTCTTTTTCTTTGACTTTTTGGACTTGGGTGCGGGAGAAGAAGGCTGGAGTGGTTGGATGGAGTCGAATTGGCCGGGTATGGCGTCTTGTAAGACTGTTGGCGGGGTAGAAGCAACAGAGGCGTCCGCCACAGACGTTTTGTCGCTTTTCTTCCCTTTGGCTTTCCCCCTTCCTTTCCCCTGTTCTTTCTCCGTCTGCTGGATATCCGCACGACCACCACTGACCTGGGTGTATCCAAGTCCTAAAGCCCCCGCAACGACGAGAACGGTGAGGGCCGTTTCACCTGATAAGAAGCTTTGTGAAGAGCCCATTGTTGTTGTAAAAGAGCGTAGATGGGTTACTGGGACCTCGGGTAAGAATCTGGTGCAGACGTTTCTGACGTGGAGCCTTGTTTGTGATACCTCCACGTGCGTCACACGTACACATAACCATACAACGCGTGTCTTGCGAGAATATAATTGCACAACCAGTGTCATCCTGGCGATAAATTGTAAGGTGAGGTATTGAGCCCTCCCAAATCCATACACGAATGGACGCATCACAGAATCGGACCGACGTGGCACAAGTCGTGTACTTGACGCCCCAATCGTCTTGGGCCCGTTCCACTTTCTGGCGCCGACGTAAACATTGCGGTGGGTGATTAGCTAGGCACACGAGTAACAAGAAAAATTGTCTCCTTGCATTACACACCAGCCTAGTACCGAGTATGCATATGTATGTAACCGCGCCAACATATACTATTCGCTCTTTTTTTGCCTTGCGAAGAAAAAATAACTTCAAAATATGATAAGCCCACCGCGAGGGTCGAACTCGCAGCCTTCAGATTAAGACAATCTGTAAACATTGGTATATAAAAGTCTGACGCTCTATCCGATTGAGCTAGGTGGGCGTGAGATGCTGGGATGAACGGAGCAATATAATACGCGTAAAGCGGGATGCTTAATTATCTGATTTTGACTGGACGGATAATTATGATATGGGTGCCGTTCATTGGAGAAGAGGACTGGTCCAAACTTGAGGTCGATGCCATTTTTTATTTGAACGTAGACTGGAGGTAAGCTAAGTAGCACTTAGTGGGATGCCCAAAGTTTGGCAGTGATACCAATGATACGATTCGGACGGGATATGACTTGTATGCATCAGGAAATCGGTTGAGACCTATGTAGGTCTATTGAGCCTATGTAGGAACTATAGCTTCATAGGCTCCCCCCCGATATATAGATTACATAGGTCAATGAGTACCCTATGTAGGCTGGTGGTAGGTTGCCATAGGTACTGTATCTCAACCCCCTTCTACCGAAAATGTAGTTTCACCTCTTGCTGAGGTGCTTACTCTACCATCACTTTTTACAATGAACTGTTTCAATTTCGGAGGTGATCAGTCTTGAGACCCTGTGAAAACCACGGCGGTTTAGTTCGGATTACATATGTTTAAAAAGGTTAGGGAGGAGGAGCCCGAGCCGAAGGCGAGGGCGATAAAGACGTTGGTTTGAAGGGCTGCTAGGCGAAGCAAAGAACAACAGGTGCTGCTGGGTAGCAACACAACCCTGTTTCGCTTTTATAAGCTCTTCGGGTTCTTTGTTATGCATTCTAATGACGTCGTCAAACGATAAGAGTCTATGATTAGATTTTCTTATTGTTCTGATAAGCATCATGCGTCATTCCGACACGGAGATACGTATGGGCGCAGCGCCCATAAGATAAGGAAGATAAGGTAGTCTAGATACGTTCCAGAGTCATCGGCCTTTTCGGGATAAGATAACGGTCTGTCTCCTCGACTTTTATTGGTCTTCTCATCCGGAGATGGGAGAGACCTCCGACCATACATCAGATCCTTTACTAAGGTCGATTTCTAAGGATCGATATCCGTTCCGCGCCTATCTGGCGCTTATCTTCAATAGACGCTCTCCGAGCGCCAACGTGATGACCGCCTGGCCATCGTTACGTAAGCATTCTCATCTCCATAACAATTGAATTGTTACAAGACCATTCTATAGGGTTTTAGAGTAAGGATAACAAGGTTGGTGTTATAAATGTTAGACGAAATGGGCAAAAAGGCTCGCAGGTCGAACGGTATCAATGGAACGGAAATGGGTTATATGGTTGAACTTTATGTACTTTAGTAGGTTGATAGGTAAAGTCGGTAGCGACAAACCCTCGCAGGTCGAGAGCACTCGACCTGCGAGAGATGAATGATGCATCCTGGAACATATTTAGGTATTCTATAGGGTTTTAGAGTAAGGATAACAAGGTTGGTGTTATAAATGTTAGACGAAATGGGCAAAAAGGCTCGCAGGTCGAACGGTATCAATGGAACGGAAATGGGTTATATGGTTGAACTTTATGTACTTAGGGTTTGTTAGAGTATCCTCCACTTGGACTAGAGCGAATGCAAAGGTTGCCGCTACAGCTGTAGCTGACAAGCTTTCGGTTACTAGTACCTCGTCAGTGCAATGCGACTCTTTTATACACGGTCAAGTGTGGTTGTGTTAGGTGCATCTACGTGAACAAATTATGCTCGACTATGAGTACTAAGCACTAAGAAGCCAGAGGCTCGCGAACGAGTATGACGACGTCGCACTTATTTTCCCCCATCGACTCTAATCTTCACCAATAACACGTTTTTATCGATAACGATCGATAAGAACTGATAACAATCAATCGATCCGTGAAAACGGACGATAGATAAGAGAATCCCTTGTGAAACCGCTAACCATTTCACTCGATTGGTAGCGTTCAGTGCATTTTCATGCATAGATTGCTAGATCGGATGGGATCTAAAAATAGCTGATATCTATTTTTACAAAATAGACGTCAGAAGACATGTCTGCAGGTGTTTCCGCAGTTACTACGACAGAGCGGACCACCGTATGTCCGATATAACGTTTCTCCGAAGATAAGCCTACAACGTGCCTAAGTTTCGGCAAAAAGAGGGTGCCTTTGTGATGTATGCTGTAGCGCCCTAGGGCGCTTATGCATTTTTCCGCGAGGTTTTTCCGAAGAATAATGATTTTCGTCGTGTTACTAACTAGAGTTTTTCCGCAGACCGTTTGCTCCCGTAGGCTAATAGGTTGCAACCGCACCAACAGTAGGTATGGTACGGCATGCCCCGAAGGGCAGGGATCACCAGCTTTCACAAGTCTAGACCATCACTGTCCAGAGTATGTGCCAAGCGCATCCATGCGCTAATTCTAAGTTACACCGTCTCCGCTATTACGCCTCTGGCGTGCCCACTCGCGCTGCAGTTAGTAAGTTTCGCCACCCCCCGAAGGGTTAGACTACTAGTACAGGTCGCCCGCTCTGGAGTGCCTTTTTGGTCTTATAATATAACAGAAATGAGCACGTTCTGACACGCGCTACGTTCTGGCATTTTAATCGCTTACATGGAGACTAATAACTCCAATGTTATTACCGTCTCTATTGATAGATCTGAGTCCATTAGGCGCCATAGGCGCCATGATCAGATTTGTTTTATCTACGTCCCACGGACGTTTTGTATGCATTAAATAACTCTCTAACTAGACATATGCCTAACGAGAATCCCTTATTGCCGGGGGGCGTACCTTGCCTTTGTCTGGTAGTTAACCGTTAGGGTTAGGGTTAGGGTTAGGGTTAGGTTAGGGTTAGGGTTAGGGTTAGGGTTAGGTTAGGGTTAGGTTAGGGTTAGGGTTAGGGTTAGGTTAGGGTTAGGGTTAGGGTTA